GGCAGCCCACAGGGAGGAGAGATAGATACACACACACACACACACACACAAGGAAGGACAGCCACAAATACACACACACGCGCACACAGAGGGTGAGACAGAAACACATAAAATTAATAATAATATAATAATAATCCTTGCATTTGATATAGCCCCTAATCATGTCGGTGAGACGTCCCAAAGCGCTTCACAGAATATTGACTTTTGTGGCTGAAACGCAGCAGCTAATTGTGCACAGCAGAGTCCCACAAACAGTATTGGATTGAGCGACCAATTTTTCTTTGAGGGATTATTACCCCCAGAAAGCGATTTGCCAATCGACTAACAACCGGTTTCCTAATTACTGCTAAGTAAACAGAGGCGTGTGGAGTTGATGGTGGAAGATCCCGGGCTGCTGCTCGAAAAGAGAAGGGACTTTCTCTCTCTCCCGGTGTCCTGCCCAATAATCCCCCAGACAGAATTGGTCACTCACACCATGGCTGTGTGTGGTGCTTCGCTGTGCACAATTCGGCTGCTGCATTTGCCCCCGAAGTACACAGTTTCTACACTTTATACAGTATATTCTGCGAAGTGCTTTGGGCCATGCTATTACCCTACATAAAGGACTATTATTAGGGTGTAAGAGTTGCTCAGCGCGGATGTAAATATTTGCGGTGTAAGTTCTTGTTACGGTTTGGAATGCACTGCCTGAAAGGGTGGCACGAGCAGATCCGATAGTAACTTTCGAAAGGGAATAAGACAGGTACTTAAGAGGGGAAAGATTTGCAGGGCTATGGGGTAAGAGCGGGTTGGGGGGGGGGTTTGGGACTGATTGGGCAGTTCTTCCATAGAGCTGGCACAGGCACGATGGGCCGAATGGCCTCCTTCTGTCCTGTAAGATTCTATGATTTTAAGAACCCGGGGCCTGTTCCCGAGTCTCGGCTCCTCCAGTTTAGCTGGTCTGCTCTGTTGTGCGGTTTGCTCACGTTTTCCTTTGCTGAGTGACTAAGCCTCGCACACAGTAAGCCCTCTCAATGGCCAACTTACACAACAGTCCCTTTCACTGCGCTCGCTGGCGTGACCAGACACATCAGCCCCGCCATTGACCAGACACTCCCTGCTGCCTGTCACTGCTCTCAGCACATTTCCCCCAGAGGCGTTTGCGAGTGCACTTCCCCAGCGTCTCAGCCCGTATCCTCTCCCGCACCAGGCTCCTCAGTCTGACTTTCTAACAACAGACCCGACCCTTCACCCTCCCACTGGACCTCTGATCTCCTGGTCTTCCCCCCTTCCTCTAATGTGTAGTGACTGTATATTTTGTAGACGAACACAGCAGCCCAGATAACTCACTGTCGCAGCAGCTAGGGCAACATTTATGGCAAAGGCTGTGTAACTATTCTACAGAGAGGTTGTGTGTTCAAGCCCCCACGTCAGAACTCTCAGCATACAGTCTAGGCTGATGCTTCAGGGTAGTGCCGGGGGGGGGGGAAAGCTGCATTGTCAGAGGTATCGTCTTTCAAATGAGGTATTAAACTGCGCTCAACATCTGTGCCCCGTTCAGGTGGACGTTTAAAGATCTTGTGATGGTATTTTATAAAGAGAAGGGAGTTTCTGCGGGTGTCCCAGCCAACAGCCTTCCACTTGAACTGAACCTTAGGACGTCCTCCCACGTGACTAAAGGCGCTACGCAAGTGTGATCTATTGTTGCTTTGCGGATTGCTTAAGAGTCTGTCCGTTCTTTGCATGGTGCAAATGGGCTGAAACTTCGCCTGCGTCAAACACAGTTGCTACACTCAACTGCAATCGCCTGCGAAGCACTTTGAGGCAGATAGACTTTATAGACAAGGTGTCAAAGAGGCGAGATTATTATTCTCCTCAGCACTACGATAACCACTGACTAAGCAGAGATCTGTCAGCGAGCCTGATTCAGCCACTTGTTATTTGTGCAGTCACTTTTTACAAATGTATTGTGTTGCCAAATCCTCATTGCCCAGCCCCCAGCTCCGCACAGCCGACTGCAAGAGATCTCCCATTTGCCGGTCTACGTGAAGAGGAATGTCCAGACACCCTCGCGCGCGTGTGCGTGCGTGTGTGTGTGGCATTGCTACCATTCAAGAAGTGTCGTAGTTTGCTTTTGGTTAACCAACTGACCAGCTAACTAGTTAGTGTTAAAGTGGTTACTGAATACACACAGTCAGTTATTTGGTGATCAGTGTTAAAGGTCTCATTGGCTGCCTGGACCCTGTGCAAATCCAGGCAAATATTTCTTTTCCCCAGTGGCTCCCGGCATCACGCCACACCCTGTGCAACGTCCCCAGACCCTCTCCTGGGAAGCGCTCAAGTGTGTTGTTGGGAGACATTCCTCCATTAGTATCTTATTGTTTTCCACTGTGTAACACATTAGTTATAGAATGTGCACACAGCAGGTTCCCACACACAGACATAGATTTAGTGACAGTATATTATTATTATTTTTTGAAGGGATTATTACCCCCGGAAAAGCGATCCACCAAACGATTAACAACCAGGTTCCTACTTACTGCTGGTAAACAGTAAGAGTAACAGTAAGAGCAACAGTGGAGTCCTGTAGCTCAGTGGTTAGAGCACTCGCTTTGCGAGCGAGAGACCTGAGTTCAATCCCCGGCAGGTCAGGGCGAAACCTTGGGCAAGTTTCCTTACTCCACACACCTAATAAGAATCCCTCCCAAACCAAAAACAATAATAAATTGGTCATTTTCAATCCACGACTGTTTGTGGGACATTGCTGTGCGCAATTGGCTGCCGCGTTCGCCCACAAATATACAGTCAATTAACTTTACAGTGTGTTCTGTGAAGCGCTTTGGGACGTCCTCCCGACGTGAAAAGTGCTATATCAAATGCAAGGATTATTATTATTATTATTATAAACAGAGGCTTGTGTGTGGAGTAAGGAAACTTGCCCAACGTTTTTCCCTGCCCGGGAATCAAACCCAGGTCCTCTCACTTGCGAGGCGAGTGCTCTAACCACTGAGCTACAGGGCTCCACAACCTATTAACCTAAAGTCTGCAGAATTTGGCAAATTGTTCAATTCAGTTTTTAATCTCTGAGGCCCGATCTCTGTCGTTCTTAAGCAAATAACTTACAATTAAAAAAAAAGCTTCTACGTTCGCGACTTTATTTTTTAAAAAAATGAATTTGTTAAATTTTGAATGCTTTGAAATGCTCCTTCAATAGAGTGGAACTCCGACCACGGGAATTTTTAACCCCTTCAGCATCTTATTTGGGGCGCCAGCGCGCAGTCATTGCCATGGTTACTGCAAACCTTCAAACATCCCTTTACAATGTAAAGCACAGCTCCCCAACCCCCTGCCTCCTTTCAGACACTTTGCCACCCACCCCCACTCTCAGGAAATCTCTTACTTAAGAAGTCCCTCCGCCCCGCTTTCTTCCCTACCCTACACCCCTCTACCTAAATCCCTCCGCCCCGCTCTCTCCCCTAAATCCCTACATCCCAACTCGCTCCCACTCTCTTTTCCGAAACCCGCCTAAAAGTCTCTCTCTCTCTCTCTCTTTGACTGTGCCTTTCATCACCTCCTGCCTATCCTTCCCTTCCCCCCACAACACACTCCTGCTTGGGGCCCCACTCCGTCTCGGCAAAGAGCTTTGAGCGTTTCCCATGTGAAAGATCTCATTCAGACTTTGGTCTAGACTGACCCTCCTGTGCAGGGCAGTGTCGTGTTGGGGGAGCGCAGTATTTTTGGCGGTGCCGTCTGTCAGATGAGACATTAAAGGCTCTCCAGGTGGACGTTAAAGATCCCGTGACCCAATTCAAAAAGAGAAGGCAGTTTCTCTCTCTCTCTCTCTCTCTCCCCCAATGTCCTGGATAACAATAATAAAATAATAATCCTTGCAACTGATACAGCATCTTATCATGTCTTCGAGACGGCTCAAGGCGCTTCGCAGAATATACTGTAAAGTGAACGGACTGCGTATCGAAAGTGGTTGCTCCCTCCACGGCTGTGGGCGGGAAGTTGCTGTGTGCAAACCGTGCGCGCCTACAGAAACACGCAGTCACTGCGCTTTATCGTGAATCCCGCGAAGCACTTTGAAACATCTTCCCGGACGGACCCTGGCACCACGGGTCAGGGCCATGGGGAGGAGAGAAGCGGACACAGATACAGAGAGAGAGAGAGAAAAACAAAATCTTGTGCAAAACGCAACATTCTTGCAGCCGCCACACTGTGTAATCTCGCTGATTGCATTTCTGCTGAAATCTGCTCTACACAAGTTCACACTCAACAAATTCAGCCGCTCAGTCAGTCGGTGGGAGCTGGGTGCACATTCAGAGCGCTGGAGTTTCCGCTAGCGTTTGGCAGATAAGCTTCCGATAGTCCGCGCTGTTTACCCCAGAGAAGCCTCCAGGCTCCAGGAACGGTCAGGAAGAGCTCCGAAAAATGTACATTTCCAAGGTTAAATTGAGCATCACTTTGTTTTAAAGGATTAATTGGTGCCGTCTGGGTATTGCTGTAATGTAAAACAGCCGGGCACCTCACCAGCAAGCACTCAGACTCCGTGTGCGTTTCCCACCCCCGCCCCCCCCAACCCAAAGTTTTTTCTACTTGGAAGTTTTATGCATATAGATTTTTATACAAGTCAATCCACTTGACATCCTGCGAAGCACTTTGCGATGTTCTCACTTGTATTTACGACAAGATTTACAAAGCTGGAATCTTTCACCATGATTCAACGAGGGGAGGGGAGGTGAAGTAAGGTCAGGGAATCGAGGGCAAGTGCAGGTAATTAGGAGTTGAGGTATGAGTCATGATCTTACAGAATGGCGGAACAGGCTCGAGGGGCTGAATGGCCTCCTCCTGTTCTTAAGTTTTTAATCTTTCACCTGGCAGAAAATCAACCTTGGATTTGTTTTTGTTTTTTTCGGGGGGGGGGGTGGGGGGGGAAAGAGAAAAAGCACCACACGCACCAAGATATAAAACAGAGTTAAAATACATTTGAACGCCTTAATCTCATGTTACACACTCACTGTTTTTCGAAGCCTTGATCTTTGCCAGTAGTTTCTGGGCTGCTGTTACGTCTCCGTTCTTCACTGTCTGAACCAGTTCCTGGTCTCGCCCCATCCTCTCTCTCTCTCTCTCTCTCTCTCCTCACTGTGCGGCTCTCTTCATGGGGCTGCCCGCAGGTACAAGCATCGCTCCGACATCCTCAGCCCCAACACCCCCCCCAAAAAAAACCCGGTGTCTTGATTCCAGCCCGGGGCTGGGCTAGATGGGAGTGGGTAACTCCAAGCAGCCAAAGTTGCACATTAGGAGCCAATCTCCTCCCCCTCCCCAAACCTCCGCAAAAACAGCTGGAGGGAACGAGATCACCCACCACCCCCCCCCCCACCACCCAACCGCCCCCCCACAAGAGCGAAGCTGAACAAAGCTGAGTAGTTGGGCTAAAGTTTCTGGGAATAAATTTCACCCTCTGGTCAATTTTGGGTCAACCTCAGGGCTGAACTCCGGTCTTTGTTGTTGTTGAGGTTTTCCCCCCCACCCCGTCTTCACACTCAGGGTCTTTCAGTCGTTGCTTGTTCCTATTCCGTGTGCGTGTCTGAGCATCTCTCCCCCCCCACTCTCTCTCTCTCTCTCACCCCCAGTGAGGAGGTTACAGCCAAGCCACACACATCTCTGGACAGCCCGCGGTCTGTGGAACGAGAGGAATACAAACAAATAGGGAAAGGGACAAGTTAAGACAAAAAGGGTTACCCCAGGGACCCGACTCCCAGCCCCTCCCCGAGTAACACCCGATCTCGCATTCCCCGCTTCCCTACCCCGACTCAATCGCCCTTCCGCAAATACACAGTCACTCCACTTCGCAGTGAAGCGTTTTGAGACGTCTCAACAAAGTGACGAGGCGCTGTATCAACTGCAAGGATTATTATTATTTTTATTAAGCTGTGATCTGAAAGGTTTAAAGCTCACTGGGGGGGGGGGGGGGGGAGCTGTGAGGAGCTTCCCACTGACACTGGGGGCGGCTGAGGGGTAAATAAGGCAACTAATCGACGCAAATCTGATTTGACCAGCAGCTGCACAGCAAGCCACACACTTCCCATTGGGATTAACTCAACCCAACCCAGTGCAGCCGTGCCGTGTGGGGAGGGCGTTCCAACCAAGGGTTTGGCCAAGCCCGCTTCCCCCCCGCTTGGGAAGGGCGGTATTGCCCACACTTGGGAGACAGGTGACATCCCGGTCAGTGCCAAGGCAAGGCTGGCAGCAGCCGGTCGCTCCCGAATTGCCCGTTGTAAACCTCTCCCAAGCTGTGTGGATTGCTAACCTAACCTTTGCTCCGCTCCTGCCCGCCCCGGATGGTGTTTGGGTCGGTGCCAGAGCCGCCTACCTGTCTGCCTCTTTCTTGCCACACACCTGCTGATCGTCTGTCTGTCTGTCTTTCGCCCTTTCTATTGCCAGTCTTTGCTGCCTGTCGGTCTCGCTGCTGCCGCTCCCTGCTGCTCTTTAACCCCTTGATACATGGGTGGGTGAGGGGTGGGGGGGGGTCACACAGTCAGTCCATCCAGGCACCATAATCATCCCGACTCCATCACCACAGCACAACAAAGAGAGAGCCAGACACGGCACAACCACCCCCCCCCCACCCCAACACACACACACACACACACACACACGGGGTAGAGAGCAGAGCCGGGGGGGGGGGGGGGGGGGGGAGAGTCTTACTGACCCCAGGCAGGTGTCTGGATCCCTGGGGAAAGGGAACAGGGAAGATATATATATATATATATATATAGAGGCCATCGCTGTTTGGGGGGGGGGGGTAGTTGCCCTGTTTGGGGGGGGGGGGGGAGTTGGGGGGGGGGGAGTGGGGGGGGGGGGGAGTTGGGGGGGGGAGTTTGCCCTATTGGGGGGGGGGGGGGGAGTTGCCCTGTTATAATAATCCTTGCATTTGATATAGTGCTTTTCACGTCGGGAGGACGTCCCAAAGCGCTTCACAGAACACACTGTAAAGTGAATTGACTGTATATTTGTGGGCGAACGCGGCGGCCGATTGCGCACAGCAATGTCCCACAAACAGTCGTGGATTGAAAATGACCAATTTATTATTGTTTTTGGTTTTGGAGGGATTATTATTAGGCTCTATGTGGAGTAAGGAAACTTGCCCAAGGTTTCGCCCTCTGCCGGGAATTGAACTCAGGTCTCTCGCTTGCAAAGCGAGTGCTCTAACCACTGAGCTACAGGGGGGAGTTGCCCTGTTGGGGGGGGGGGGGAGTTGCCCTGTTGGGGGGGGGGGGGGGGGAGTTGCCCTGTTGGGAGGGGGGGGGGGGGGGGGGGGGGGGGGGGGGGGGTGGGGGGGCGGGGGAGTTGCCCTGTTGGGGGGGGGGAGTTGCCCTGTTGGGGGAGGGGGGGGGAGTTGCCCTGTTGGGGGGTGGGGGGGGAGTTGCCCTGTTGGGGGGGGGGAGTTGCCCTGTTGGGGGAGGGGGGGGGAGTTGCCCTGTTGGGGGGGGGGGGAGTTGCTCTGTTGGGGGGGGTGTTTCTGGGGGTGCAGTGTGTGGGGGGGTTTCTGGGGGTGCAGTGTGTGGGGGGGTTTCTGGGGTGCAGTGTGTGGGGGGGTTTCTGGGGGTGCAGTGTGTGGGGGGGTTTCTGGGGGTGCAGTGTGTGGGGGATTCCGAGCGATCGCAGGAGAGAGAGAGGAGAGATTTGCGACGTTTGTTTAAACCCCGAAACTCATTCACACCAAATGTCCCCCCAACAGCCTTCTCCCACAGTGCCCCCCACAGCCTTCTCCCCCAGTGCCCCCCCACAGCCTTCTCCCCCAGTGCCCCCCCACAGCCTTCTCCCCAGTGCCCCCCCACAGCCTTCTCCCCCAGTGCCCCCCACAGCCTTCTCCCCCAGTGCCCCCCACAGCCTTCTCCCCCAGTGCCCCCCACAGCCTTCTCCCCCAGTGCCCCCCAGTGCCCCCCACAGCCTTCTCACCGAGTGTCCCCTCAGTGCCCCCCACAGCCTTCTCCCCCAGTGCCCCTCAGTGCCCCCCACAGCCTTCTCCCCCAGTGCCCCTCAGTGCCCCCCACAGCCTTCTCCCCCAGTGCCCCTCAGTGCCCCCCACAGCCTTCTCACCGAGTGTCCCTCACAGCCTTCACATCGGAACAGCTCCTAATTCCTTCCACTTTTAATCCACGATCTTCACAAACTCTCGTCCTCCACAAACCATTCCCAGTGAAAAAAACCTTCCAACACAGTCAGGGGGTGAGAGAGCGAGAGACCTCCTCCCCTCCTCTCCCCGTGTACACACTCCTCCAAAGACTTCTTTATTTTGCGCAAAACTCTGCCCCACTTTATCACCTGAACACAGACACAGACAGACGGAGAGCGGCCGGAAAGTCCCACCATCCACTGCCACACATTGGCTCTGTTTGCCCCAACACTGCCATTGGGCTCCATCACCATCAATCATTGGCCAAAGCTTCCAAAGCTCTCCCACACTGAGCACACAGCCCCCACACCCACACCCACCCCACCCACCCTCCCCACCCACACCCACCCTCCCCACCCACACTCCCCACCTCCCCACCCACCCTCCCACCCACACCCACCCTCCCCACCCACACTCCCCACCTCCCCCACCCTCCCCACCCACACCCACCCACCCCACCCACACTGCCCACCCCCCCCACACCCCCTCCCCACCCACCCCCTCCCACCCCTCCCCACCTCCACACCCACACCACACCCACCCTCCCCACACCCACACCCACCCTCCCTCCCCACCCACACTCCCCACCCACACCCACCCTCCCCACACCCCTCCCCACCCACCCTCCCCACCTCCACACCCACACCCACCCTCCCTCCCCACCCACACTCCCCACCTCCCCACCCACACCCACCCTCCCCACACCCCCTCCCCACCCACACCCACCCTCCCTCCCCACACCCCCTCCCACCCTCCCCACCCACACTCCCCACCTCCCCACCCACACCCACCCAGCCCCCCACACCCCCTCCCACCCACCCTCCCCACCCCCCCACACCCCCTCCCACCCCACCCTCCCCACCCACACCCCCTCCCACCACCCCCTCCCCACCCACACCCACCCACACCCCTCCCACCATCCTCCCCACCCACACCCACCCACCCACACCCCCACCCCCCCACACCCCACCCCCCCCACCCTCCCTCCACACCCACCCCTCCTCCCCACCCACACCGATCCTCCCCACCCCCCCACCCCTCCCACACCCACCAGCACTTATTATTCATAAGAATAATCCTTTCAAAATAATACTTTCGTAATACTAGTTCAGGTTAAATAATCCCTTCAAAACTAAATAACTCAATAATAATAATAATAATAATTTGGTCACCCCCCCCCCCCCAGATCGTTTGTGGGTCGGACACCGCTGCCTGCGCTCAATTGTCCTGCTGCGTTTCACCCACAAGATAGCACGGTCCCTCCACACGTGCGGGACTGTGCTCTCCGTAATAATAATAATACTAATAATAATAATAATAATACGTGTTAAGAATCCTTGCATTCGATATAGCACCACATCACGGCGTCGAGACATCTCAAACCCCTTCACAGAATAATCCTTTCAAAATAATAATACTTTTGCAATAACAGTTCAGGTTAATAATCCCTTCAAAAATACATAACTCAGTAATAATAATAATTTGGTCAACCCCCCCCCACCCCGGATTAGCGTCTCACCCGAAGGACGGCAGCAACACAACACAACACAACAGCACCGTGAGATCTTTAATCTTTACCTGAAAACATGAAACCGGAGACACGGCCTGGTCTGGTTTGAACGTCTTTATCTGAAAGAGATAACACCGCGCTGGAGAGTCAGCCCGGAAAGGGTGAGATCAAAGTGCCCAAAGTGGGACAGGAGCCCAGAAAACCTTGCGAGTCAGAGAGTGGAGAGAGACTGTGGGAGAGAGAGCGAGAGACAGACAGACGGAGCGAGAAAGACTGAAAGGAGTCAGCCTGACACCTTTATCTCATCGGTGTTTACACCACAGTGACTGGAGATCCACCCTCGGGCCGGATGACAACAGAGCAAATACTTCCCGCCTGTGGTTACACCCAAATCGTTGTCTGTTTTTTTCTCTCTGGTGCTGAAAGGTACAGATAACGCACGCGCCAACAGACTTTTTTTTAATCGGAAGAGAAATAGAGGACAGTGTGCGAGCCTCGCCCAAGATACCAGTGGAATCTTCTTCACTGGGACTCAACAGTTACAGCGAGACTCACCGATGCCCGTCATAACTTTACACCGCGTTTTGGAACACTGCACTTTACACGGCATTTTGAGACGTTCTCCTGACGTGAAAGGTGCTGTAAACGTGAGGATTATTATTATTATTACTGCGTGCAACTGGCTGCCGCGTTTCATCTGCACAATCCACGTGACTGAATATTCCTGTGAAGTGCTTTGAGACGTCTAAGGCGCTTCTATCAAATGCAAAGGATTATATTTATTATTACGTTTTCTTATTCATGCTCCATTCCCTGATTGTGTTGGTGTCTTTACACAGAAAATACATTCTCCACCTCGCCCTCGCCACCCACACTGGTCCCCTATAAGTTCCTATCTCTCCTCAATTGTCTGTGAAGTCAATGGCGTTCACACATTATTGAATTAGCCATTCGTTGAAGGCAATTATCCTTCCCCGTTCTCTCCAGGTAGCAATGGGCAGGTGCCAACTGCCATCACCTTTGAATCAACCCACACCTTCAGCTCTTCCCCGGAAGCTGGACCTCTGATCTCATTTATTCTTCATATTTTTCCAATACCAGCTCAATCCCCACCACCCCCTCCCCACTTCTGTAGCTCAACTATCCTTTGATTCAGTACCCCTGTGCTTCTCCACTCCGTGTTATATCACATCTACCCTCTCTGTACAAACAGCCACAAATTTCTCAGCTGAGAGCTAAGTACAGAGAGAGGTACAGCTGTAGACGTGGAACAGAAGGTTCCGTGTCCCGATCACCCCTCTCAAAGTTGATAAAACATCCAACAAATATGCTCCCAGGGAGGGGGGAAGGGTCAGATGGACGCTTTCCGGGGATAATAATCCCTTGCAAAATAGTAATAATTTGGTCACTCAAGCCACGACCGTTTGTGGGACACTGCTGTGCGCAATTGGCTGCCGCATTTCGCCCGCAGTCACTACACTTCTGCAAAGTTTCTCCTGGCATCCTGGTGCCCAGATAAAACTCTGGGTTTGCCTACAATCACTGTAAGAACCCCCTGTGAGGAGACGTGAGGCTTGTCCACCTCCAGGTACTGCATCAAATGGCAGGATTATTATTATTATTATCCTGTGATTAAGAATTCAGTGCATCGTGCTATTCCAGTTGTTATTCTTAGTATCTTCTGCCCTCTGATGGGCACTTACATTACTCCATGCAGCTCACGACAACAATTTAATAAGAATAATTCTCGCACTTGATATAGCGTCTCATTACGTCTTCGAGACGTCTCAAAGCGCTTCACAGAAACCCGGCAGCCAATTGCCCGCAGCAACGTCCCACAAACAGTCGTGCATTGAGTGACCAAATTTTTGTCTATTTATTTATTATTACTATTATTTTTTTTGAAGGGATTGTTACTCCCGGAAAACAGATCTGCCAATTGACTAACAACCGGGTTCCTACTCAGCCTGCCCACTCCCTCCGTTCATCGGGCTCCATGTCTCCTGCCCGACCCGCCCTACCATCGATGGCCGGGCTTTCAGCCTCTCTGCCCCCACACTCTGGAACTCCATCCCACGGTCCCCTCCGCTCGCTTCCTCCCTCGCCTCCTTCAAGGCCGGTCTCAAGACCCTTCTCTTCGACTATGCCTTCGGTCTCCCTCCCACCTCTCTGCCTTCCCTCACCCCTACACCGCCCCTCCCCCATGCTCAGATCCCGACACCTGACTATTCAGCGCTTTAGGACGTCCTCCCGACGTGAAAGGCGCTCTATAAGTGTAATTTTGTTGTTATTGCAAGTAGAAACAGAGGTCTGTGGAGGTAAGGGAACGTGCGCAAGGTTTTGCCGTTGGCACTGTGCCAAAGTGCCACAAGGGAACAAACAATGCGACACAATTAACCAGCCTCTTCCCTCTCCAAGTTGGAGCAATAAGGTTTTCCTCAAATGTATTGGGTGTCCTGAGGCTTGTCTTCAGTACCTAAATACTACAACAGAGCTGTGGCCAGGCAACAGTACGCCATTCTCAGTAAGTGTTGAGTTATGGGCAACGATTAGACAAGCCAGGGCTTTTCAGACTTGAAAGAGCACATCATAATAACAATAATACTCCTTACATTTGATTTAAAAACTTATCATGGCGTTGAGATGACTCAAAGCGCTTCACAGTGTAAAGTGGAGTGACTGTACATTTTGTGGTCAGCGGGATGTATGTAGAAATGTATAAGATTTTAATTGGGATTAAGAAAAACAACAACAACAACGCCTTTCACGTCGGGAGGACGTCCCAAGGCGCACCACTCCAAACACGCAAACACTTTGGGATGTCCTCTCACTGCGAAAGACGCTGCATCAAATGCAAGGATTATTATTAAAATATTCAAAGTGCTTTGAGAAATTTATTTTCACCCGAAAGGTGCCATACGGACGCAAGTTATTATTTTTAATAATATCATTTCTGCATAGCCTCCCAATGCAGCATTTCAACAACCTGCTGTGCCATCTATCTCTCTGGGAATGAAGTGCGTAATTTATTTAGCTGCAAGGTAATTGGATTGTGAATTTCCGGGGCACATTGAAACCGTTTGCTTTAATTTATCAAACATTTACCAGCCGAGGTCATTCCACTGAAGGGTTTAAAGTCAACGCGTCACCTGTTCTCCCCCGGACTAACCTTCTTTCATGATTCCAGAGCCTCGGCTTCAAAGGGTGAGAATTGATGGCGACGTTTGATGTTGTACGTTTAGATTTACAAACAAAGAGCCACGTGAAAGACTCCTCCACAAGCTGTGGGTCACTGGGTATCCAGAGCAAGACACGGACGTGGATTCAGAATTGGCTGAAGGGAAGGAAGGAAGCACAGGGTCTGTGTTAGGGGAGCGGGGTCACAATGGGGAGAGGTATTTAGCGGGTACACCCGCTATCCTTTAATATACAACGCGATACCGCTGTTTTCCTAGCCGGATGTGAGTCGGTCGCCTTTCCGGGGGTAATAATAATCCCTTCAAAAAATAATAATAAATGGAGGTGCGGCGTTCAAGCAGCGGCTGCGGCTCCGGGCCTCTCTGCAGCCCAATCCAGGTGGGTTCCAGGCTCTTGTCTGCCTTCCCAACTCTTCCCTCCACAAGTTGCGGAGCATCCAGAACTCTGCAGCTCGGGTCCTCTCCCGCGCCGGACTCCGTGACCCTAACACCCCCACCCTTGTCCGGCTCCACTGGCTCCCCATTCCCCCAGAGGTTACAGTCCAAATACTCATCCTTGTCTCCAAAGCCCTCCATGGCCTTGCTCCTCCCTACCCATTACCTACTGATCCCATATCGACCTGTCCGCTCCCGCCGCTCAGCGGGCTCCGGACCACTCCACGTCCCCCGCCCGGCCCACCCCACCATTGGCGGTCAGGCCTGCAGCCTTTCTGCCCCCAACTTCTGGAAGTCCATCCCACAGTCCCTTCCCCTCGCTCCCTCGCTTGCTTCCTTCAAGGCACATCTCAAGAACCTCCTCTTTGACCGCCGCACCTTCGGCCATCCTCCTCCCCTCCCCGCGCTCACCCCTCCTGATCCCAAGGTCCAGCTCGGGTCCAAACCCCTTGGGAATGTCCAGCGGCTTGGGACGTCCTCCCGACATGAAGGAACTCAGGACTCTAGGTCACGCCTTCCAGCAGCTGTGGCCCCAAGTCTCAGAGTTTCCTCATCATCAGCATTATCATCATCACCATCACTATCAGCATCACCACCATCATCATCATCACCATCACTATCAGCATCACCACCATCATCATCATCACCATCACTATCAGCATCACCACAATCATCATCATCACCATCATCATCATCATCACTATCACCATCATCACCACCATCACCATCACTATCAGCATCACCACCATCATCATCATCACCATCACTATCAGCATCACCACCATCATCATCATCACCATCATCATCACTATCAGCATCATCACCACCATCATCATCATCACCATCACTATCAGCATCACCACCATCATCATCATCACCATCATCATCATCACTATCAGCATCATCACCACCATCATCATCATCACCATCACTATCACCATCATCACCACCATCATCATCATCACCATCACTATCACCATCATCACCACCATCATCATCACCACCATCATCATCATCACTATCAGCATCACCATCATCACCACCATCATCACCATCACCATCATCACCATCAGCTCTCCGGCACCTGATGGACATCTGCCTTCAACGCGGTGGGCGGAGCCTCTGACACGACACGTGACAGGACGGACAGGACATCACGTGACAGAGACGGGCGTTAGGACCGGGAGGGCGGCGGCGGCGGTGAGGACGATGGCGGCGGCCGAGGAGCCGAGCGATTGCGGGGAGTCAGACCGCAGCCGTGTTCTCAGGTACCGACACGGGGGGGAGGGGGCGGGGCCCCGGGAGCCGCCGGTAACAGACAGAGGGGGGGCACCGACTTAAAGCGGCAACGTCACCGGCAGCCTGTGGGCCCCACGGCTCTCGGTGCGGGGCTTCCACCCGCAAACCGCAGCCTCTTGACTCGACCCCGGGCCCCGGGAGCCGGGAGCCAGGCTGCTCTCTCCTCTCCCTGGGGGGGAGCCTCACCCCCCCCCGCGGGGGCGGGTTGGGGGGTTCACGCCCCAATCGGGAGGGGGGTTCTGTTTTTGCGGGTGAACGCACCCCCTCTCCCCTCCCCCCGCCCCCCCCCCCCCCCCCCCCCCCGCCCCCCGGTTTGCCCACAGCGGCCCCCGATGTCATTCACTTCAATGGCTGTTTGTGGGACTTCTTATATTGTTGTAGGTTTTGGAGGGGGTGAGGAGGGGAGGGGCGCGGAGGGAGGAGAGGGGTGTGGAGGGAGGAGAGGGATGTGGAGGGAGGAGGAGAGGGGTGTGGAGGGAGGAGGAGAGGGGTGTGGAGGGAGGAGAGGGGTGTGGAGGGAGGAGAGGGATGTGGAGGGAGGAGGAGAGGGGTGTGGAGGGAGGAGGAGAGGGGTGTGGAGGGAGGAGGAGAGGGGTGTGGAGGGAGGAGAGGGATGTGGAGGGAGGAGGAGAGGGGTGCGGAGGGAGGAGGAGAGGGGTGCGGAGGGAGGAGGAGAGGGGTGTGGAGGGAGGAGAGGGGTGTGGAGGGAGGAGGAGAGGGGTGTGGAGGGAGGAGGAGAGGGGTGTGGAGGGAGGAGAGGGGGCGGAGGGAGGAGGAGAGGGGTGCGGAGGGAGGAGGAGAGGGGTGCGGAGGGAGGAGGAGAGGGGCGCGGAGGGAGGAGGAGAGGGGCGCGGAGGGAGGAGGAGAGGGGCGCGGAGGGAGGAGGAGAGGGGCGCGGAGGGAGGAGGAGAGGGCGCGGAGGGAGGAGGGGAGGGGCGCGGAGGGAGGAGGGGAGGGGCGCGGAGGGAGGAGGGAGGGGCGCGGAGGGAGGAGGGGAGGGGCGCGGAGGGAGGAGGGGAGGGCGCGGAGGGAGGAGGGGAGGGGCGCGGAGGGAGGAGGGGAGGGGCGCGGAGGGGAGGGGAGGGGGGGGAGGGGAGGGGGCGCGGAGGGAGGAGGGGAGGGGCGCGGAGGGAGGAGGGGAGGGGCGCGGAGGGGAGGGAGGGGGAGGGAGGAGGGGAGGGGCGCGGAGGGAGGAGAGGAGCGCGGAGGAGGGAGGAGAGGAGCGCGGAGGGGGGAGGAGAGGGGCGCGGAGGGAGGAGGAGAGGGGCGCGGAGGGAGGAGGAGAGGGGCGCGGAGGGAGGAGGAGAGGGGCGCGGAGGGGGAGGAGAGGGTGTGGAGGGAGAAGGAGAGGGGCGCGGAGGGAGGAGGAGAGGGGTGCGGAGGGGGAGGAGAGGGTGCGGAGGGGGGAGAGAGGGGCGCGGAGGGAGGAGGAGAGGGGTGCGGAGGGGGGAGGGGAGGGGTGCGGAGGGAGGAGGAGAGGGGCGCGGAGGGAGGAGGAGAGGGGTGACTGCCCTGATGCTGTGGTTTTCCTTGTGTGCAGCTGTGAGGAGCTTTTTGCAGCCCGCTCCCGGGACCACAAGATTCCTCAGAGATCCCACGGCCAGAAGGACTTCTTCCCGGACCAGTCGGAAGAGCAGGCGGAGAAGCTGAGGCTGTGCCGTGAGGAACAGCGGCAGCTCCTCTCCGAGGAGCGAGTGGAGCGGCTGTAAGAAACGCGGCTTATTGCAGCCGGAGACGTTTGCGCTGTGCGCTGAACGAGGCCCATCGGGTCTGGCCCCCGGCGCTCAACAACAACAACAACAACAACAAGATTCCATTTATAGAGCGCCTTTCACGTCGGGAGGACGTCCCGAGGCAGAGCAAAGTGCTCCCTTCAGTCGCACTGCCCTATCCCCACACCCCCCTTGAAGCGTCTCTCCCTCCCATACCTTCTTGAAATCCACTGCGGACTCTGCCTTTACTCTGGGCTCTGGATGTCCATCCCCCGGTGCCTTCGCCGCCTCCTCCCTTTCCTCCTTCAAGGCCGGTCTCAAGACCTTTCTCTTTGACCTTCAGCCTTCAGCTCCGCTCTCGACTCTCTACCCCCTCCCTCCCTCCCCTCACCATTTCCCCCCTCCTTGCCCCCTCCCTTCCCTCCCCTCACCCTGACCATCTGCCCCCTCCTCGCTCCCTCCCTTCCCTCCCCTCACCCTGACCATTTCTCCCCCCAATGCTCGGGTCCTGACCCACCTGTACAGCGCCTTGGGACGTCCTCCCGACGTGAAAGACGCTCTATAAATGGAATCTTGTTGTTGTTGTTGTTTGCCACCTGACTTGGCCGAGGCATTCTGCATCACAACACCTCTCTGAGTGAAACAACAATCTCCTAAGCTTTCTTTTCGCTCTTCGTGGTTATCTGAATCTACATGTTCCAGTCACTGACTGTGCAAATAGTGTCTCTCTATTCGCCCCATCAAAACCCCTCGTAATGATGTACACCTCTCCGGCTGTGTTTGCTTTGTGGGCTATTGTTTATCTGTATAAATAGCTGTTCTCTTCATTTTATCCAGAGGCAGCCTGGTAAGGACAGAATGGAACAGACAGGAGAACATTGTGGAGCTGACGTCCAATGCTGTGAGTTTCTTTTTAAACTATTGGGTTTCTTAATTCGGGATTTCTATCATCTAACCCTGTAACCAAAGCATTTGTTCCTGTTTAATAGTGTTAAACTCTCTCCTCCTCCTCCTCCTCCAATCTCCCAAACCTGCCTAGGCTCCCACTCTGACGCTGCGAAGCGCTTTGAGACCTTTAACCAGGTGAAAATTAGATGAACTACTGTAATTGTGTGCGAGTTGATGTTCCTGGTGCTTTGTGCCTTGCCAACTCCTTGTCTTGTCCTGGCTCAGGGGAAGTTCTGGCACACCATGGGACACGTGAGGCACGGGAAGCAGCTGCTGTATCCTGAGGAAGCGCTGTACCTATTGGAGTGTGTGAGTACATAGTAAAGCAAAACGCCAGCAAGGTACCGTCAAAGATCCCCGTGGTGTCTGCTGAAATGATGAGATAGATTAACGCTCCCAATTCTGTGTTGGTAACTAGACTGTCTGTATATGAAAATACTGACAACAAGTAACCTGCCTTTCAGGGGTCCATCCAGATATATTACAGAGAGCTGCCTCTGTCCATCCAGGAAGCTTACGAGATCTTACTGTCTGCTCAAACTATCCCACTGCATCATTATCAGGTATGAGGGTAGAAAGTGTGGGCAAGCCTGGGTCAGTTGGTAAACCTCATGTCACAGTGTTGTTAGTTTATGCCCCTCAGTGACCTTGAGCTCAGGGTTTAGGCTGACACTTGAGTCGACGCTCCATGTTGGAAGGTGCTTCAGATGAGATGTTAAACCAGGGTCCCGTCTGCCAGTTCAGGTGGATATTAAGAATTGTGGAAAGTTCTTAAATTCAACTTGCATTTGGAAGTCAGTTTCTTCTCAAGCCCTGTGGAAAAGCCGGGTTCCAAATACAGAGATGTTCAAGAATTTTCTACAATTCTGAGCAAGTTTTGACTTCCAAGGCCTAGGCTAACCGGAATTTCAGGCTTCTGACATTTTGCCATTGAGCTGTTTGTCATCCTGTTTCTTTGTTTGAACAGACAATGTGCCTGATTCCACACATTCTGAAAAGTGTTTCTTTTGTTTGTTGAAGGTTTACAGTCACTTGAAAAGACTGGGGTATGTTGTGATGCGATTTAATCCCAGGTAAAGGTTGCCTTACCCTCGCCCTCTCTCTCTCTCCCTCTTCTCTCTGTGTCCATCCCCTCCTCTTTACGGGCTGTCTCAGTGTGTGAAAATGCTTTGGTCCTTATCCAGCTAGGGCCGCCCTACCCCGCAGGGCTTTGGCTCGCAGATTTGGTTGAGTGTATGTCTATACCTGCAAGTTTTATCATGGAGCCAGACAGGCTGGTCAATCAGCAGTGGTGCCTTTGATTCCTGCAGGTGTGTGTGTCTGTTTTTATCACGGGCGTCTCCTTAGAGGTCTAGCAACCACAACAACCCCCCCCGCAGGGTAGGTTCCAGGGCACAGGATGCCGTTTACTTCCTCGAGGAATATGTTAAACAGGGAGCCTGTTTTTATTGACCTCGCAAGGGCGGAGGCCTGTGTAGACCAGCGACCAGTTATGGAATCCAGAGCCTTCCGATCCAAAAGTAAATAACATAAAGTAAACGTGACAGGAAGCCTCCGGTATTTGATGAGCCGACGATTAGCTTGAGTTGCCGCTCTGTGGTGCTATGGCATCTCTCTGTCCTTTCAGTGGCGTTCCCACGGCCTATGAGCAGAAGCTGAACCTGGAGCCTCATCTGAAAGCCTCGGACAAGCACCAGCGCAAGAGGAAGAGGAGCATCAGCCCAGACACTGGCAGGTACTCACTGGGAAAGCAGTGTCTCGCTAGGGAGTGCATTGGTTTGCCACGGCCACAGGGGATTTCCTTCGATCCCCAAATTTCAATGATTTATAAATGTTTGCCTACAAAATACATGGTCACTACACTTAGCAGTAAATCCTGTAAAATGCTTTGAAATGTCCTCTGTCATAGAAGGTACAGCTCAGAAACAGGTCACTCGGCCCGTCTTGTCCAGCTGGTGTTTATACTCTGCATGGGTGTCCATCCTAGATCCAATCCCTAGTCCTGTATCCCGGCTTTTTCCCCACGTTGCTCTACTTTATTCTCTCATACCGAGTGTCCGGCCTTTTTTTAGAAGGTGCACCCGGTTGTTACCCCAACAACCAACTGTGGCAGAGAATTCCACACACTCGCCACTCTCTGTGTGAAAATGTTCCTCCTGATCTCTGTTCAGGCCCGTAATAGATGAGTGAAGAGGTTGGGCGGAGGAGTGGGGTTATGGGCAGGTCAGAGAGAGAGGGAGGGAGAGATCCGCTAGAGTCTGAAACACATTGAGACATCCATCCGATGTGAAAGGCACTATATCAAATGCAAGGATTGCTTTTATTTCATTGTTCTTTCTGTTAAAGAGGTAAGGACTCCGACCGAGGCCAGGCAGAGCGATCGAGGGAAGGTGAGAGGTCTGTGGTCGCAGAGGCTGAGGAAGGTGTAGCAAAAAAGAGCCAGTGTTTGGATGGAGACGGGTCTCTCAAAGACAAGGTTGAACCGCCCTTAGAGCCCGGCCTGAGGAACGCAAGCATCAGGCTGGAGAGCGCACAGGAGGCCTCGGGGAGCGTTGACGATTGGCCGATGGAGGAATCCACTCTGGCGTCTCCAGGTCCTGTCCATTCCTCTCCCCAGAGAGCTCACACGAGCTCGGTGTCAATGAGGCGGCTGCGGTGGGACTTCAGCCAAATAAGGTTCCCGAACTTTGCGAGAGACTGCCCGCACACCAACCTGCCCGCCCTGGACGCAGACCTTCTGCCAGAGAATGTGGTTGGACAAGCGTGCGATGCAGGTGCCTGGCGACACAAGCTAAACCAGAAGCAAGAGAAAATGTCTTTCAGGGAACGGGAGAAGCAGGAGAGGGCAAGCAGATACAAAACCGACATCAACAAGGACAGGCGGGTCAGGCAGTGTGCCAACTGGAAAGAGTACAAGACTTTCTTGAAATGGAAGCAGAACAGACACGATGAGCTGCCTCCCCACCTCTGGAAGGACCAGGTTCAGCCGCTTATCAAACCCAGACAAGTCACCTCACCCGGTAGGTAGGCAGCAGGCTCTGGTGATTTGCTGCTGGCAGTGGACAAAGAAGTCCATCTGGAACACCCACCTGCTGGAACCATGCAGCAGCTCAGGCAGCATCTATGGAGAGAGAAAGTGGGTTAACGTCAAAAGGGGTGAAGGGGCTGAGCTCGCTCGCCAGGATTTGAATCCAAAACTTTCCAGTTACATGTCAAATCATGGTGGCAGATAGGACAAGGCCAGAGTCCACAAAAAATGCCGTGAAAAGACATAGGAATAGGAGGAGGCCATTCAGCCCCTCAAGCCTGTTTTGCCATTCTATAAGATCATGGTTGATCAGTACCTCAACTCCAATTACCGCCCTTGCTCCGTATCCCTTGATACCCTGACCTAATAAATATCTATCCACCTCAGTCTTGACATTTGTAATTTTGCTGTGCTTGAGGACAGGCTACAGCTGATTATTAACTTGTTCCTTGTTTTCTTTCCATTACAAAGGAGACCTCCTGCAACGTATTGGCATCCTGCATTCCACTCGCCTCCTGGATGGAGCTGCTTGGTAAGTTATCTGGTAGCATTAGAGGATGATGAGAATGACACCAGGGATGGAGAGGGCTGTAGACTATAGTGAATGGCTGGTAAGACTGGCGATGTCTTCTCTGTAGTTGATGCTGAGCAGTGATTTGATTTTAGTGTTTAGAGTTATGAAAGCTTTCCACACAATAAGCAAAGTGACTCTGTCAGTCAGTGCTCACAATAGTCTGTGTCTAAATACCTAATTATCCACTTTGTGCTGTGCAGCCTCAAGGAGTCTACCGAGAGCGTAAAAATCACCTTCAATGTGTACCAGGCTGATACTGTGGCGGCTTTCCGCAAATCCCAGCCCGGGAAACCCTATTCAAGGATGTGTGTTTGCAGGTACGGTGCCGGGCGATCTGTGTGTGTGTGTGTGCTTGTAATTTGTCTGTGCGCGCGATCTGTATGAGTGCGTGGTTTGTGTGCGCACGGTGTGCAGTTGTGTATGATTTGTGTTAAACTAGCTGATCTTGTATTTAACCACATTACACTGAGAGAAGTGAATTCCCTGTCTATTCTTCTGCCTCGCCTCTCTCTACCTTCAAATCCCACCTTAAAACCTACCTCTTCACCCATATGGTCACCTCCCCCATCCTCTGCCTCCTGATCCATCAAGTCTCATAAGCTGCTTATCCTAAAAGGCCATCCATAATAATAATAATGATCTACTTTGCATGACCGTTTCCGTCCGATGGGAACCCCAGTGGGAGAACCCGGGTCCCATTTCAAAGCACAGCTTCTCTCATGTTGTTGATCGACACTTCAGTGTGAGATCACTGGGTTACTCTCTCTCACATTCTGCCTTCTGGCCTTTCCGCAGCTTTGAGGAGTCGGTGCCAGACCTCCGCTTGATGAAGGCACTGTCCTATCAGAGTGGCGACGTGCCTATTGTCTTTGCTGTGGTGGATAGCGGTGACATCTCCTTCTACACCTTCAAGGAATTCAAACTGCCTGTGGACGTCTACCACTGACGGCGTGGCGAGTAGGGGAGAAGGCTTCCCCTTTTGTGCATGATCTCAGGGCTTTTGGGAAATGTGAGTCTGGGTTTGGGGCGAAGACATTGCTTTAGTCGGGGAGATTTCCTTCTGCACAGAGAGAGTTTCTAATGATGTGTACGTAGATTGCTGGTGATGTAGTTGTTGATCAATTGCTCAAGTTGCCTATTAACCTCTCTCACGGGTACCCGCTGAATAGTTGCCTGATATCATTAAATATCTCAGATGACATTGAGGGAATTCCCCCCTCTCTTCCCCACCTGCAAAAGTCCCTGGCTTTTATCAGACGAGAACCCTGCAACAGATTCCTGTTCCAACCAGCAAAGAGCTGGTCAAACCCATCGATGGGTTGAATGGAATATCTTCGACTGTTAGTATTTGCTTCCTATTCAAATGATATTTTTCTAGCCTTCATGTTTGCTGCATTTGAGTTTATTGGGGATAATAAATTCCTTTATATTTTCTCTCGCCCACAAAATAGTCAATTCACTTTACAGTATACTCCGTGAAGCGTTTTGAGACCTCTCGAAGACGTGGTAAGGCACTGGATCAAATGCAAGGATTATTATTATTATTTCCCTCCCCCACACCCCCCATTACAGATTGATTCTGGGAAGATTGCGGGAAGTGAAGGGAAACGCTTCCCCGGAAACAAAATACCCCGAAGCGCTTCGAGACGTCTCGACGTGACTAAGACCCTTCGCCCCTCCGGCACCTCCTTACCTCTACGACCTCCGTCCTCCCCGACCCACCAGCCGGCGCCTCCGCTCGACGGGCGCCGGCCTCCCGCTCGTCCCTCGCACCCTCCGCCCCACCGTCGGGGGTCACGCTTTCAGCCACCACATTCCGAAACTCTGGAGCACTCTTCCCTCAGTCCCTCCGCCCCCCCCCTTTCTCAGGTCCTGCCCGAAAGCCTTGCCCCGCCGCCGTGCTCACGGGCGCCTTCCCAACCATCCGGCTCGGAGTCGGGCTCCGCCACTGTTTAGCGCTCTCGAGACGCTATCCCGCGTGGAGGGTGCGATATAAGCGCAAGTTGTTGTCGATCCGGGGGGGGGGGGGGTTGGGGTTGGGGTGGGATTGGGTTGGGGGGGTGTTGGGGTTGGGGTGGGATTGGGTTGGGTTGGTGGGTTGGATTGGGGGGTTGGGTTGGGGGGTTGGGTTGGGGGGTGGGGTTGGGTTGGTGGGGTGGGGTTGGGGGGGTGGGGTGGGGTTGCGTTGGTGGGGTTGGGACCAGCTGTCCTGCCCTAACATATTACCCTGGCTGAGATATTTGTTAGGTCGGGGGAGGGGGGGGAGGGGGGTAATTGGAGTCGAGGTACTGGAACAGGCTGGAGGGGCTGAATGGCTTCCTCCTGTCCCCATGTGCCTGTCAAGCCGACAACACAGCCCTGGCTGCGCTGCGCTGACCACCTCCGGCCACTGGGTGTCGCTGTTGCAGTGACAGTGTCGCACCGCCCCACCCTTCTCCCTCGCCACTGCCCCGGGTCGGCGATGCTGCTCGGCCGCCGCGGAGCTCGTCTCTTGCCGCTCGCCTGCCTCACGCCGCTCGGGCCGTGGGCGCCGGGGCGCAGGTAATGCGGCGCGGGTGAGGGAAGCCCCGGGGGTGGGGGGCTGAGGCCTGAACTCCCCTACGCAGCCCTCGCCGTCGCGGGGCGGGGGGGGCGGGTTGGCGGTTGGCTGGCGCGAGGCAGGCTGGGAGTTGTAGTTCCCACCCGGCCTTGCGCTGACGCCCGTCAGGGGTGGTGGTGGGGGGGAGGGAACGTCAGCTCCCGGCATGCCTCGCGGTTGTAGTTCCCGCAGGGTTTTGCGCGAGGCGGGCGGTGGTGGGGGGCGGAGCAGGACTACAGCCCCCAGCCTGCCCCGCGGCCAGCTGATCGCGTCACGTGGCCCCATCGCCAACATGTGCTGCTGATTGTGTGACAACAATCCCTGGTGCAGCCCAGAGGAGCTCACAGGTCCCTCCCTCACTCCCTCCCTCCCTCACTCCCTCCCTCCCTCACTCACTCACTCACTCCCTCACTCACTCACCTTCAAGCCTCTTAATTGCAAGGAACTGCAGCTTTCTCCTGTGGTTTTCTAAAGGTTTGCAAAGCTTTTTGCATTGCATTATTTCCTTCTCTCCCTCTCCTCACTTCCTCCTCCTCCTCCTCCTGCACCTCCTCCTCCTGCACCTCCTCCCCTGCCCTCCCTTTTTTCCCCCCCCCTCGCTCCCTCCTCCTCCTCCTCCTGCTGCTGCTGCGAGCGCCTCTTGATTTCTTTTATGCCCGACTGTTCATGGCCGCGCTCGCCCGGGCAACACGCGGGGGGTGGGGGGGTCGGTTGGCTTCGCGGTACCTTTCCGCCGAGGATTGCCGTTGTTTTCTTTCGAAAGAACGCCGTCGCACCCCCCGCGTCTGGAACGCTCGCGCCGATTCGCTCGACCCGCCCGCTCGGGGCGCTCTTCTCGTTTCGCCGCGACCTCCGTGGCGGCTCTCGCAGAAGAGGGCTCAACCTCGACAATGGCAGCCGGTGGCAGCGACTGCGCACTCGCTGCGTTGCTCCGGGGGGTTCGCGCACTGCGACGCCCCGCGAACAGCCGCAAAGTTGACCATCGATCTTATCCGCGGGAAACCGGTCGTCGCAACGCCGGCGGAAACTCCTTTCTCTTTTCCAGCAGTGCCGTGGGATCCTTCACAATCCACCTGAACGGGCCACAGGGCATCTCAATTCAGTATCTTGTCCGAATACATTTGTTATCTCGATATGTCCAGATCAATACATGTCACGAGCATCGTGACATCACAAATGTACTGCATTGCACCTGAGGGGGAAGAGCAGGGAGGGACCCGGGTTTAATGCAGTAATTCCTATTGGGTTTAATTGAGCTGCTAATCTCGGGGAGGATCTATCTGACGTTGACGTTCAAAAAAAATTCTCGTTGATCGAGTTACCGGTGGAATCGCTGCCCTTCATAGAGGAAAGTCATTTGGGATACTCTTAATAATAATAATCCTTACAAATGATATAGTGCCTTTCAGGTCTGGAGGACATCTTGTAAATTGTAGTCGTTGTATGTTGTAGACGGGCACTGTGCCTGGAAGGACTTAAACCCAGGTGCTCAGTAATCCTGTACTCAACTGAGTGTGAAAGGCCTGAATACTACCAGACAGTTCAATTTCCCTCCTACGGTATTTGGCGTGTGTGCAGGTCAGATCTTTTCTCCGGTGTTAGAAGAGTTTCTGTGCTTGACCCACCTACCGTAAAGCGCTTTGAGAAGTTTCGATGCGATATGGGCGGTGGGGGTGGTGGTGGGGGGATGTATCCCACGTACACACATGTACCTTTTGGTTGTTGCTGGCATCGGGCTCCGCCATTGTTAAACTCCCCGAGAAGACGTCCGGCGCGAAGGGCGCCCTGTAAACACAAGCTGTTGTTGCCATGTTTATGGAGTGCCGCTTTCTCTGTTTGAATCGCTAGGAGGAGTTACCCAAAGAGAAGCCCGGCACGAGTAGCACTTGTAGCTATGGCGACAGGCGGCAGCGAAAGATGGCCGCCATCACCACCCTCGCCTGATTCCAAACAGCGCACCAACCGGCTCATCCACGAGAAGTCGCCCTACCTCCTGCAGCACGCTCACAACCCCGTGGACTGGTAACTCGCTCTCTGTTGCTTTCAGCAATTGAAGGTCTTTTTCAGAGACCCGGAAGGAATTGCCCGGGTACGGTTGGGGTAACTGCTGGAGTTTAACCTTTGCTGAATTGTAACTCCCATCGCACTAAACCAAGGCTGAATTTCTGCAGCGAAACAGCCAGGGGCTGTAGGAATAAACCCGGGGTGTTGTTTATGGAGTTACTGACTGACTGGGACCTTCTTGTTTTGACCCTCCAGGTATCCTTGGGGACAGGAAGCCTTTGACAAAGCGAGGAAAGAGAACAAACCGATATTCCTGTCAGGTACGCTGTGAGCAAGGATCAGTCTTAATTTATTACAGATGCGAAACCAGTCGCCGGGAATCATAGGTTTACTGCAACAACAACAACTTGTATTTACACAGCGAGCGCCCCTCACGCAGGGCAGCGTCCCAGAGCGCTTGACAGTGGCGGAGCACAGCGCTGAGCCGGGTGGGGGGTAGTGACCGTAGGCACGGTCGATCGAGGAGGAAGGTCTTCAGGCACGACCTGAAGATGGGGAAGACAGGGGCAAGGCGGAGAGATAGAGGAAGACAGTTCCACAGTTTCGGGGCACGGTGGCTGAAAGGGCGGCCACTGATGGTGGAACGCAGGGCACGAGGGACATGCAGGAGGCCAGTTGAGCGGATCAGACGAAGACCCTTCGGATTTCTTCTTCCTTGCCTCTTGTGAGGAGCGCAGGGCGGAGCTGTGGCTCCAGATTCCATCTTCCATTCACAGATTTCCATTTCTTCCCTCCGCAGTTGGCTACTCCACCTGCCATTGGTGCCATGTCATGGAGTGCGAATCATTTGAGAATGAAGAGATCGGAAAAATATTGAACAACAATTTTGTTTGCATCAAAGTGGACCGGGAGGAGAGGCCAGATATAGATAAAGTTTATATGGCATTTGTACAGGTGAATGTCAGCCGCCATCTTTCGGGCCAGTGATTAGTGCGTCTGGGACTAATGTGGGTGCTAATTGTAGCAAATGTTTACAGACGGTCACAAGCAATAAAGGCTTAGCATTTGCTTTACAGTTCACAAAATATAGAGTCACTTTACAGTATATTCTGTGAAGCGCTTTGAGACGTCTCAGCGACCTTTCCCTTACAATTACATTGTCGCTACAATTTACAGATAACTGTCGAGACCGAAGTGGATAGATGTTTGTTAGGTCAGGATATTAAGGGATACGGGGCAATGGCGGGCAATTGGAGCTGAGGTACAGATCAGTCATGATCTCATAGAACGGCGGAACAGGCTTGAGGGGCTGAATGGCCTCCTCCCATTTCTATGCTTCAATGAGAGCTTTGAGATAGTTCATTGGTATATAATGTAAGGATTATTATTGTGATGTTTTTTTCTCTCTCACAGGCAATAAGTGGAGGAGGCGGCTGGCCAATGAGTGTCTGGCTGACTCCTGAGCTCAAGCCATTTGTTGGAGGGACGTACTTTCCACCCGAGGACACCTTACACAGACCAGGCTTCAAAACTGTCCTACAGAACCTGTCTGAGCAGGTAAGGGAGGGCGATGGGTTAGGGGGGGTGGGTGGGCGGAGAATACATCACCTATTGAGTGATCAAGAAACACACACTGCAAAAAAAAATTGGTTAGTTAATCCGCGACTGTGTGAGTGTGAGACACTGCTGTGCGCAATTGGCTGCTGCGTTTCGCCCACAAAATACCCAGTCACTCCACTTTACAGTATATTCTGTGAAGCACTTTGCGACGTCTCGAAGACGTGATAAGGCGCAATATCAAATGCAAGCATTGTTAAGATAAGGAGAGAAGTTTGCTCAAGGGGGAACAGACTGGAATAAACTGTTTAGAGCAGGTCACTGAAGCAGAGGTGTATGTCCTGTAGTTCAGGAGGCCAAAGGGATGCATTTGTGGAGAGAGAACGGATTACTGTTATCAGCTAACTTATGTAATAATAATAACCTTTGCATTTGATACAGCGCCTTATCGCGTCGTCGTGACGTGCTAAAAAGCTCTTCGCAGAATATACTATAAAGTGTTTTTTGAATGTGTATTTTGTAAGCGAAACACAGCAGCCAGTTGCACACAGCACAGCAACGTCCCACAAATAGCCCCGGAGTGAGTGATCCATTTTATTTATCTATGTACACAAAAATGAAGCTGGAACAGGCCAGAAATGTTTCTTAAACTGTTCAGATTTCCACCTTTTGATTCACCTTCTTAAAAAAAAAAATCTTTTTTCATTTCAGTGGAAGGAAAACCAAAAGGCCTTGACTGAGCGCAGCGACAAGATCCTTTCGGTGTTGCAGAAGGCGACATTGGTTAACGCCAAGGCCGGAGAGATGCCACCGGACTGGCAAGAGGTGACGGAGAGGTGTTTCCAGCAACTGGCTCATTCCTATGAAGAAGAATATGGAGGGTTCAGCACGTCACCTAAGTTCCCTTCAGCGGGTGAGGAGCACAAGTGCCACCGTGGAGTCCTATAGCTTAGAAGACATGATAAAGCTCCAAATCAAATGCAAGAATTATTACTATTATTATTGATCTTTTTGTTACTTCAACCGTCCTTCACCATCTCTCCCTCTCTCTCTCTCTCTCCTCCCTGCTCCACTTCCGGGGTCCCCCCCTTCCCTGGTTTCACAGGAGTTCCTGTAAAGTGTGTGTTTTGTAGGTGAATTTAGGCTTTGGTTCCCATTGCTGTTTGCTATCCTGTTGCTCAGGTGTGATTCTTCTCCCTCCTCCAACCACACATATTTGCTGACTGGTTAGTCTGGCACATGGTGATTAGCTCCTCGGATGAAATGCCAGTTGATGTCACACAACTAGAAGGAATAACACAGGGGGATTTGGGATGGGAAATGAGCAGGAATGAATACTGGACAGTAGTACAAATGGGAGCTGGTTTGGGCAGGATATCGCAGGCCGGCGATAGTAATTGTCGCAAATTCGCGATCTCTTCCTAACTTTGTGATTCTTTTGATCCAATTGTTTTGAGCAGTGAACTTCCGTTTCCTGTTCCACTTCTGGGCGCTGAAGAAGACGTCAGCGAAGGGCGTGCGGGCCCTGGAGATGGCTTTGCACACACTGAAAATGATGGCTCTGGGAGGAATCCGGGATCACGTTGGGCAGGTAGGAAGATAATAATAATAATCCTCGCATTTGATACAGCACCTTTTCACGGCTTCGAGACGTCTCAAAGTGCTTCACAGGATACCCTGTCAAGTGAATTGACTATATATTTTGGGGGCGAAACGCGGCAGCCAATTGCGCACTGCGGCATCCCCACAAACAAGTCGTGGATTGGGTGACCAAATTCTTATTATTTTATTTATTTGTTTATTTGTTGTCTTCAGTCACTTTCCTACCCCTACCCTTCCTGCCCTCCACCCCTCCTGATCCCAACCCCCGCAATACAAATGTAATTGTTGTTCATGTCGACCGCAATGGCTATTGACTTGGAGAAATTGCCCGTCTTCTGAGATGCTGCTCTATTAATCCCCCCCTTATTGTGTTTGTGCCCGGTAGGGCTTTCATCGTTACTCCACAGATGGGGAATGGCACGTTCCGCATTTTGAGAAGATGCTGTATGATCAGGCACAGCTGGCTTTGGCTTTCACAGACGCTTACCAGGTAAGAGAAAAGCTCTGGAATAATAATATAATAATAATATAATATAATCCTCGCATTTGATACAGCGCCTCCTCACGTCTTCGAGATGTCTCAAAGCGCTTCACAGAATATGCTGTAAAGTGAATTGACTGGAAATTTTCGTGGAAACAAAAAAAAGTGTTTTCCCATTACGTTACCTGGAATTGGCCACTGGAGGACACTGGTAAACCATCCCAAAATGTCTGTGGCAACTGAAGTCGTCAGTGTTCCTGGGTGTCACTGTGATCGCGTTCGTCACATTTTGTCTCGAATACTTTAGTTTTAACGTTTCGTGCTTCAGTTCACTGTACTTAAACACTGACTGTCCAGCTATAAAAAGGCGCTACACAAATGTAATTTTGTTGTTGTTCAAAGGTTCTCCAGACCAGCAGCCAGTCTCAGAGATTGGGTGGACATTTTGGGGTTCAATTTATTTCTACCTTTAAAGAATCATAGAATCTTACAGCACAGAAGGAGGCCATTCAGCCCATCGTGACTGTTTGAAAGAACTACCCAACTAGTTCCACTTCCCCCGCTCTTACCCCATATCAAATTCCCTTTTGAAAGCTACTATCGAATCTGCTTCCTCCACCCTCTCAGGCAGTGCGTTCCAGACCGTAACAGCGGTTTTATGATCTTCAGCAAAGCACTCGGGCTCAATTTATAGCAGCCTCACCTTGAGTCTGAATCCTCACATCAGCACTTAATAAATAATAATCCCTGGTGCTTTTCAAATCGGGAGGATGGCTTAAAGCACTTCACAGGATACACTGTAAAGTGTAGTGACTGTGTAATTTGCAGGTGTATGCAGCAGCTAATTTATGTGCATCAATTTCCCACAAACAGCTGTGCGGTGAATTGCCATCTTTTTCTATTTGGGTTTTTCTGTTGGCCAGGACCTGGGAGACATTCCCTGCTCTCTCTGCGAATAATTAGCCTCTGCATTATTTTGGCAATTTGAGACACTTTTGTAATGAGATAAAGCACTGTTCAAATGCATTATTTTGTGATCTCTCCATCAGCCTGGCTTTTTGAAGCCCAGAGTGTGATTAATCTGCATAATAATAATAATGATGATATTCCTTGCATTTGACACGGCGCTTTATCACATCATTGAGACGTCTCAAAGTGCCTCACAGGATATATTGTAAAGTGGAGTGTCTGCATTTTGTGGGCGAAACACGGCAGCCAATTGCACACAGCAGGGTCCCCACAAACAGTCGTGGATTGGTGAACCGCATGGGCGTGAAATGTACATTTCTCTCTACTTTTGAAGCAAGTTGTAATTATGCTTTCAGCGTTACCCACAGGAGAATCAACGGTTGCAGCTCTCTGCCATAGACCCTGTTAGTACTTTAGTTCAATTCCCTCCTCTATTCCCCAGGTGACAGCTACACATCAGCGAGTTTAAAAAAATATCTATCTATTAATCAAACAGTGATTTGTTCGAATCAATAACGCGACCCCACTCGCAGGAAATGAGAAGAGAATGGAGTGTCAAACCACCTGTGTCTGCGCTGCTCAGCCAGCGAACGAAAGTCAGCCACGGATCCCATTACATTGCACCTGCAGCCGTCCTTCTTGAGGTGTAATGAGAAGCAATTGTAAAATCATTTCCGTAGATAAAAGCCTCCAATTTAATCTGGCGCCTGTCAGTTTCCTAATTGAAAGTGCCTTTTTTTTTTGCACTCTCTGTCTCTTCTGTTTTCGGTGCTGTTAGCTTTTTAGGGTGGTGACGGAGGTTGTGTGTGTGTGTGTGTGTGTCTATCTGTGCCGAGTTGGGAAAGTGGGATAGATTTCCATCTGATCCTAAATCTTTTTATTTTATTTTGGAAAGGGCACGAGGAACGTTAGGGCTGGGAAATAGAATGAAGAGAAAGAGAGAGAGAGAGAGAATGCGTTTTTATAGCCTCAGTGAAATGCTCCTCTGTGATTACCATCACGTGCAGTGACTTTCTTGTTGGCAAAAGTAGGAAAAATTTTATTTCCGGTGACCAGCGTCACTGTTGAGTGCTCCTGGGAAAGGGTGTAGCACAGCCATTTAGGGAGCAAAACCCTCTGCGTTCTGCCCCCCCCATGGTGGAGTCCTGTAACTTAGTGGTTAGAGCACTCGCCTCGCAAACGAGAGGACCTGGGTTCGATTCCCAGGCAGGGCAAAAGGTTGGGCAAGTGTCCTTACTCCACACACCTCTGTTTACCTAGCAGTGAGTAGGAACAAGGTTGTTAGTCGATTTGCATATGGCTTTTCCGGGGGTAATAATAACTTAAAAAAAAATGTGGTCACTCAATCCACGACTGTATGTGGGACGCTGCTGTGCGTAATTGGCTGCCGCATTTTGCCCACAAAATATACAGTCAATTCACTTTACAGTACATTCTGTGAATCGCTATGAGATGTCTCGATAAGGCGCTATATCAAATGCAAGGATTGTTATTATTATATTATAATATAACTTACTAACCCAACCTGTTCCTTTCAATCTGGATCGGTGGAAATAGGATCTCAGACCCAGCCTAAAAGAGCTTGACAAACTTTCAAAGTTTCAAAAAAAAATAATCATCTGACTCCGGAGTCAGTGTCTGTTGGGATCAGGGGAAAGATAGAAAAGAGGGCAGCTTTCTGGTGCAGTATCGGAGCCAGATTGTCTTCCGAGGATTTGAGAATAAAACAGAGAGACCGAGACCAGAATGGCGAAATAAGGAGGTCAACCCCCTGAGGCCAGGCAGAAACAGTTCAAAGGATTCAAAGGAACATATTTCAAGAGGAACCTGAGGCAAATAGAAGTTATCTGAGGAACATTGGAAGGAACGTTTGATCAAAACTCTCTTTGCCCACAAAATACACAAGTCAATTCCACTTTACAGTATGTTTTGTGAAGAGCTTTGAGACGTCTCAACAATGCGATAAGGCGCGACATCAAATGGAAGGATTATTGTTACTGTATAAAATAGTCAGCGTGATGGTTCAGTACACCTCTGTCACCAACAGGAGCCTGTAGAGAGCTTAGTAACCACCTCTTGAGCTCCCACTGATAGTTAGTTTGATCGACAAAACTGCCTGAACAGGGGAAATGTTTGTAAGCGCAGCTGATCATACTGCAAGTGATTTAAAGTGAGTTGAGAAAAGAAGGTTCTTAGACACTCTTTCCCCTGCTGAGTGCTCACTGGGTCACCAGCAAACTCAAGAAGAGCACTTAAAAGGTGAGCAGTTTAAAAACCTGGGAGTTTGACTGATCTCAGCCTCTTAAACCCTGTGTGTGTTCAGCCGCAAAAGAGTTTACAAATCTTGATAACAATAATCCTTACATTTGACACGGTGCCTTGTCACGCCTTCGAGACGTCTCAAAACGCTTCACAGGATACGCTGTAAAGAGAATTGACTGTATATTCCATCGTTGCTTTCATGTCAGTTTGGATAGGATTCCCTTGTTTTTCCCACAGCCTTTGGTTCACTATATAAACCTTGATCTGTCTCCTCACAGATATCTGGCGACTCGTTCTTTAAAGATGTTGCTCGGGACATTTTGCAGTACGTCTCGCGAGATTTAAGTGACCCGGTAAGGTTCTGTTTTTTGCCTTTTAAGTTGCTGCTGGAATTGTAATTGTGGATTGAATTGTAACCCTGGCCATTGCAACAGGCGATCTACAAAACGCTCACAAAGTATAGTCACACCACTTTACAGTAAATCCTGTGAAGCGCTTTGAGACGTGTTCAAGATCCTCGTCCTCACTTTTAAATTAAAAAAAAGAAATTGGTTATTCACTTTGTGGCTGTTTTGTGGGACATTGCTGTCTGCAAATTGGCTGCCTCATTCCCCTACAAAATACACAGTCACTAAATTTCACACTAAAACCTGTGAGGTACTTTAAAATGCCTGAACGACGTAAAAGGCTTCCTCGCCTCCTTCAAGGCAAGTCTCAAGACCCTCCTCTTCGACTGCACCTCTGGCCTCCATACTACCCTCCACCCTCCTTGCCCTCCACCCCATCTGATCCCAACCCCCAGCTCCGGTCCAAATCCCTGACTGTCCACCGCCTTGGGACATCCTCCCAACGTGAAAGGGACTGTGGAAGTGTCATCTGTAATTGTTGTTATCAAATGTAAAGATTATTATTATCATGAATAAAACAAAGCACAGTCATTGGCCGACTTTCAGGCTTGTCAATCTGCACAAAAATCACGAACAGCATAAAAATAACCGAAGCCGTGTGTAAACTATCTTAATTACTTCCACTGGGATCACGTTGAGCTTGACGTTGATGAGAGGGGCGGGGGGATAAAATCAATCTTGTGATCTGTTCCCAAAGTAGGAGCTTGGTGTAGTGCAGCCGTTTGATCCAGTCGTTCAAAACTTGATTGACTGTTAGCAAATATCAGGGGAACAAGTCGCTGAAATGTATTTGTAATTCTTAGTACAAATGAATGCAAAAAAACCCCACACATTTCACAATATGTCCATTATCGCTGACAGTCGTCTTTCATTCCATCAGCCAAATAGATTCAGGCCACGTTTCGCCCACAAAACACAGTCAATTCACTTTACAGTGTGTCCTGTGAAGCGCTTTGAGACATCTCGAAGACATGATAAGGCGCTGTATCAAATGCAAGGATTATTATTATTGTTTAATAGTTTCAGTAACTCTCACTTACCTTGAGAAATATTCTGCCGGGCAATTCTTGCAGACACCCATCTTGAAGCCTGAAGGTGCCTCGGATTGCCTGGTGGAGTAAGGTAGTTTAAGCACGTTTGAGATGAATTGCAGTGTAAGTTTAATGAGCTCCATCGGTAAAGGTGGCCACGGGCTGTTGCCTGCCTTTATATGACCGTTTAAACTCTTTCGGTCTCGGCAGACTGGGGGCTTCTACAGCGCTGAGGATGCAGATTCCTATCCCACTGCGGAGTCCAATAAAAAGATGGAGGGGGCGTTCTGCGTATGGACAGAAGACGCAATCCGCCGACTTCTCCCCGAAACGGTTCCGGGTGCAACGCAGGGGACTACCATGGCGGATATTTTCACTCATCATTACGGAGTGAAGGAGGGCGGGAACGTTACCGGAGAGCAGGTACGTGAAACCGATTTGATTAAAACCAGGAGATTTATGAGCAGGTGCCCTGACCAGTCACTCAATGGTAAAGGCAATCGCAGTAAAAAAACAAGTTAATAATAATAGTAATTTGGTCACTTCAACCCACGACTGTTTGCTGGACACTGCTGTGCGCAATTGGCTGCTGCATTTTGCCCACAAAATACACAGTCGAGTCACCTTACAGTATATCCTGTGAAGCGCTTTGAGATGCCTCGAAGACCTGATAAGATGCTATATCGCATGCGAGGATTATTATTATTATTATTAAGTTAGTAGCAGGTGGCTGTGCAGAGAACAAGGAGCAAGAGGATGAAATAAAGTGAGCTGGGGATAGATTGGGAGATAGATTAGAATGGCGGGTGACATATATATAATGTGGCTCAGTGAAGAGTCACGACTAGTGACTGAGGCGAATTGTAGACCTCAGTTGAAATCAACCATCGCATCACAGACCAAAGTTTCTGATGTAGAGACACTCTGCGCAGTCTGGCTCAGTCTGGCTGTCACTGAGCCATCAGCAGGGCCTCTGACGTGCTCACTTCGGTTCTGCTTGAAGGTTCCAGAGTACAATTTGCGCTCTGAACAAACCCATTCAGTCCGTGCCAGAGCTTTCTATTTCTAATCTATTTAATTGAATGCGAGCGATTTTACAGGACTCCCCGAGGGATTGAGGTAATCGGTGTCTTGTTGTCTAGATATTTATTACTCCAGTGAGCACGCTTGTTTTGTTTGTGGCGTGCTTGTTGCCAGGACTGCATACCTAGAGAGCCCCAGATCATGGCCATGTACAATATTGGATGCAACACGACTCCCAAACCAATAAACAATTGGTAATTAATCCAACTATGCCATTGTTCTCCAACGCACATGACGATCATCGAGACTGTCGGCATTCGTGTGCTGCCAAAATAATGCAATTCAAGACAGTTTGTAGTCCAAATGATAAATAGTTATTGAAACATTAGAATGGCATTTGGCGAGGTCTCCTCATATGTCACTAAACTGTCTGAAAGCCAATATCACTGACTTTCTTTTCAAATGGTATGAAATGTTGCATTTCAGATGCCAAACGTCTAAATCCATTTCCACCCAGGGTCAGTTGGTGTGGTGTGTGATGTGTTGGTGTGTTGTGTTGCGGTGTGTTGTGTGGTGTGTTGCGGCGCTACTAGATTTGGGCATCTCCTAAACTTTACTTGAGATTTAATCCTAAAAGTCCCCTGCACAATTTGTGTTGTTTGTCTCGACTTCAACTCAGGATTGATTGGAAGATGCATCTTCATGGAAATAAATGATAATAATAATAATAATAATCCTGGCATTTGATGCAGTGCCTTATCACGTCTTTGAGATGCCTCAAAGCCCTTCACACAGTATACTGTAAAGTGACGCAAGGATGTTATGTTAAACCTTTACAAGTCGCTGGGACTGGTTGGGTGGCTGTTTCAAAGAGCCAGCACCTTTCTGTGTTAACAATCACCAGCAAATAGTGAGCGAGTCCATTGTCTTTGATCCCATCGTTTCTTCAGCACCCAATGGTTACGCATCCTGACGTGCACACAAACCGAGCCAGCGGTTTATCTGACGTGAAGTGTGATCTTAACATAAGTCTGTTCGAACCCAGGCCGTCAGTAAAGAAGATGGCATTCAACGCTGTGTTATTTTCACAACAAAAACCTCCCAAAATATCTGCCTAGACCCCGGGCTGTCGAAGACGATTGTCAGGGATCAGACGTGGAGAGGCCGGGGACAGTCACTGCCACTTGGGAATGAGCCACTTGCTCATTAGCGCTGTTCGTGTCAGTCACCGTAAATTACAGCCGAAGGGTGAAGAATGAGTGACAGAGGGTGGGGTGGGGGGGGGAAAAGATCGGCCCAACATCAGCCTCAACCGAAGACTGTTGTGATCCAGTCCTCGTGACAAGCAGCAGAAGTTTGTGCTATTACATCAGTGTACTGACTGACTAACTAACTGACTGGGGAGATCTTGGCACTGAAATGCATCTTAATGGATTTAGGGCAGATTTGTGTCAAATGTGAATTGTTCTTTTTTCAGACTTCCAGGCAATCGAGTCTCAGGGCAATTTAAAGACCAGCTCAATCCTGTTTGTGTGTGTGTGTGTGTGTGTGTGTGGTTTTACACCTCACTAGTTTCCCGGTAATGTGCACAAGTTGGCAGGTAGTTGGTTGGACACCAGTCGGGACCAAATGCACATAACAGGGCCCAGTCCAAAGCTCCACAGAGACATAGTCACCCCAATACTACCATTGACCCAAGTGGCTCCCTCCCCAAACTTCCAATCCCGCCTAAAGACCTTCCTTCTTGATCGTGCTCACGGTCACCTCCCCGCCTCCCTCTCCCCCCGGCTCGGTGTCAGACTCCGCCACTGTCAAGCGCTCCAGGATGTTACCCCGTGCGAAGAGCGCTATATAAATGCAAGTTGTTGTTGTTGTGTCTCTTGAGATGCTCTCGCCAAGCACCTCATTCATAGCTGAGTAGAAATGACACAGATTCCGGACTACAGGCATAGACTGACTACCGTCAGGGAGACGGGTATACTCTCTGACTGTTGGCGTGTTCTCTGTGCTTGTGCTGTAGGACCCTCACGGAGAGCTAAAAAATCAGAACGTCCTCATTATCCGTTACTCACTGGACCTGACGGCCGCCAAGTTTGACTTGGAGATGGGCAAGCTGGAAGATGTCCTGGGCAAGTGTAGAAGCAAATTGTTTGAGGTCAGCAGACACCGGCCTCGGCCCCATCTGGATAGCAAGATGCTGGCATCGTGGAACGGTGAGGGAACTCTGTCATGTCGCTGACAGCACTAATAATAATTATAATAATAATAATCGGCGCATTTGATATAGCACCTTATCACGTCTTCGAGGCGTCCCAAAGCGCTTCACACAATATACTGAAATGTGAATTGACTGTATATTGTTTTTTGTGGGTGAAACGCAGCAGCCAATTGCGCACAGCAGCGTCCCACACACAGTCATGGATTGAGTGCAAAAATATTATTTTTTTGAAGGAAAAGCAATCTGCTAATCGACTAACAACACTGGACTGCCTCACCCACGTTCTTCTAATTTGAGTAGTTCACCGTTGAATTATTTAGATGCTTTGCAGAACATTAATGGGTTCAAGTCCATTCATGTCGGATCAATTGAATTTTTGCACAAGTTGGCAGCTGCTCAAAGGAGTGGCTCACGTTGCAATAGTCATCTCTTCAGTCACGCTCAGAGATTGATTTCGGTCCCTGGGCTTGACTGGTGAGCTGTGAAGCTCTCTCTCCAGTGGAGGGGGACGCTGGAGAGATGGAGTTGAGTTCTGCAGTGTGTCCACAAAGTCTTTTTTTTTTCTATGGTCATCGCCCCCACCGACTCCCCCCCCCCCCCCCCCCCCCACAGCTCGGCGTCAGACTCCGCCACTGTCGAGCTCTCTGGGACCCTACCCCGTGTGAAGAGCGCTATATATATTTTGTAAGGTGATTCGACCACAGTTTAGAGTGTAGTGAGCTTTTGTGTCTGGTTGAGAAACTTCTTCCATCCCCATGTCATCGCTGTCAAATATTGAAAGCTGCCTTCCTTTCAGCCACAGCTAAGCCTCTTCTGTCAGTGCAGGAAAAGCTTACCTCTTTGTCTCTGTCTCCCATCTTGTTTCCAATTATTCAACTGCTAGAGTAATTAACAGCTAGAAGGTGCGATAAAGCACTTGGCAAGGTAAGCTCATTATGGCTGCAAGAAGAGAAATAATTATCTTTGTTGAATTCTCTTTCGGAGAAAGGATTTGCCAAATCGTGGTAAACCTTCAGTGACTCGTGTTATCTTTCTGAGACATGGAGCCCAATCTGTAACAAATCTCTCTCGGATTTGCATTGCTTACATTTGAATTCCTCTGGCAATCGTACTGGGATCACACTGGGATCAGGGGTTATATCATACACAGCAGATGTCATAGATGATGCTACAGAAGAAATGTATTTTGTATTGTGTACCCTGCATGATTGTGGCGTCATGTCATAGGATATTTGTTAGGTCAGAGTCTTAAGGGATACAGGGCAAGGGCGGCAGGTAATTGGACTTGAGATTACAGATCAGCCATGATCTTATAGAATGGTGGAACAGGCTCGAGGGGCTGAATGGCCTCCTTCTGTTTCTATGACTGTGACACCTGTGGAAATATTTTCACACTTCAAATAAAAAATTGCTCTCCTCTGTTTCTCGCTTATGGCCTATCTCAAGACTTGAGGATGACCTCCTTTCTGGCTTAGTTCTCCTCTATGAACAGCCTGCAAGGAGGTGGCCATCTGTGGACTTTTCCCTATTTGTCAAATAAATCTTTCCTGCCGAACAGTCAGGAACCTTTGAACCATATTCTAAAATCGACAACATTAGTTTCTTGTAAAACTGCAGTAATGACTTGATGAGAGGAGTGCAATTGGGACGTCCTCCCGACGTGAAAGGCACTTTACGAATGTAATTTGTTGTTGTTGTTGTAATCCCTTTCTGCACATGCAAGTCTATACACACTGCTGAGGCACTGCAGCTCTGTGAATCTACCCACTGTATTATAAATGATGGCTGCCCACAAGATGTAACTTAATGTCTGGGGTTCAGGTCCAATTCATAAACCATTTGTGTGGTTGTTGTCATCTTGATTGGGTTACGGTGGTGTGACTTCCCTGCTGGGTAGATGTTACTATTGCCAAGGAACACTTAAACATTCAGTGTTGAATTGATGTATGGATGATCATTGGGGCTGCCAGTCTACCCTACTGAGAATGTGTGTTGGAGAATCTGTGGGATGAGACATTAAGTGATCGCAGGTTCAGGTAGGTGCTAACTGCCCCGAGGCACTTATTGTGAAGAAGAGCAGGGACAGCTCCACTGTCATGGGTGATGTTCATCCCTCCTTCAAGCTCACTTTGAAATAAATGGTTATTTGTCTCAATGCTTACGTTAGTTACGCCATTTAGCTCCCAGTATCCCTGTCTGGCAATCCCCCAGATACAATTGGTCATTCACTTTGTGGCTGTTTGTGGGACGTTGCTGTCTGTCCTGACAAATCCTGCTGATGAGCTGTGCTGTCATCAGCAGTGCCCTGGAGTGTACTCCGGACCCACCTGGCTCAAGAACCGGATTACCGAGACCCCCCCAGAGGGCTGGCTTCATTCCAACATTCTGTTGCCCAAACACGTCACCTTGGAGCCACTTCAGCTCTCAGGAGACCTCCCCCTCCCCCCGCACCCCAAGAAAGATAGTCACTAGTTGGTCGTTCGACATCCACCAAGCGTGGGTTTGAGCCTCACTAGGTGGATGATAGGTAATAATATTAATAATAATCCTTGCATTTGATATAGCGCCTTATCACGTCGTTGAAACGTCTCAAAGCGCTTCACAGAATATGCTGTAAAGTGAATTGACCGTATTTTGTGGGAGTAACGTGGCAGCCAATTCCACAAATGTAATAATTATAGATAATCATTTATCGCTGGCTTGTTAGCTGGAATTGTAATACGATAGACTTGATTGAGCCTCTGCGTGTGTCAATTTGGCAAAACTCTACAGTGGGGCACATAATAGCCTTTGATCAACATTCCACTTGGCAGCCTGGCTGATGATTGGCAATCTTTGAAGCTTAGTGCTGTCTGAGAGAGCAAGTTTGCAGTGCACGTTAGTGGCCAAATTACTGTCATTTACATTTCTCTTTGCAGACTCGGATTGACATTGTGCAGATCTAGAACTTAACCTCTAATTATCTACTGAATATGCCTAGCAATGGGCAAGGTGCCAGTGTAGAACTTTTAACCTTATTTACTACAATTGAGGGTCTAAAGGTAAAGGGATTATTCTGGTTCCATAAAGGAGCCATCCTTCTCATCATGGAGTCTCTGTTACAGTGTGTATGTGTGATGTGAATGAGCCATCCTATCTGTCCTCTCTGAACCAGCTGATCTGAGCAGCAGATTAGGGTGTATTTTCAGCTCACTTTACACACTGTCCAAATTTGATAACATTGAGATTTTACAGCTTGCCTCATGAATCTTCCAGAGAAAGGCTAGTCATGTAACAGTAGGGACCGGCAACATTAAACTCAGCTCCCACGTCACAGTACCCGGCAAAGAAGAGAATTTCAAGGTCACTTACTTGAGGTGTTGGCCTGTTACTTCCTCGCTGACAAATTGTGCACCAAATTATTATGATTGATGGATCCAGCCCAGGAAAAAAGTCTCAAAAGTAACTTCCTCCACTCCTTACCATTTCACCCTCCATCCCAGACTGAGTATAGTTAACTCGAAACAAAGTAGGAATTGAACCTTTTATTACAGCTTTGCGGCAGAAAACAAGGCAAGGGTAACTTCTGAATGCCAGATCAGACCGGGGTTAGGAACGGGCAACAGCACTTTTTGTTAACTATTGAAAGCAGAAGAGGTTAAGTTTCTAAGGAAATCAATGCAGTGAACAGAAATCATGGCATTTCGCAGAACTCACACTTTCACAAGAACCCGTATAAAAAGGAACCGTGTTGGATCCTGGAGCATTTCACCTCACCATCAAACAAACGCCTCACTAACGATTGCTAAGGTGTTGCAAATTGAATTGCCAGCACAGCGTTGGGATTGCCAAACACTGATTGGGACCCCCCACTGCGCCCGTCATCAGAGTACTTAACACCGTTCACAGAAAGCCGTCAATCCCCAGCTCTCTCAGGCCTGAGCTGCGCGATGCTGTGAAACTCTATTTAGTGCACGGCTTCCTATTGAAGCTCACTGCTGAGAGAGATGATTGCTGGAGATTGGGGTGAATTCTATTGCACAAGCCCCCCCAGGGAGGGGAAGGAGTTGGACGTGCTCTGAAGGAGAGAAAAGTTGCATTTATATGCTCTGTCCAGCGCCTTGGGATGTCCTCCCGACGTGAAAGTCGCCGTACAAATGTAACCTTGTATTGTATTCACTTCCAGGGAGCTGTCACTTAACAGTAACAAGAGTAAAATCCTGTGAAGCACTTTGAGACGTTTCAATGATGAGATAATAATGGTCATGTCTCAATGACCTGATCGTTGATATGAAATGCAAGGATAATTATGATTGTATTGTGTACGAGAGAGATCATTTGTTTCCATGTTTTACCATCTTGAACACAGCCATAAATAAACGAGGTGAGGATGGTGTGTGTTCAGATAAATTATTTTCAACAAGTTGCAAACACAATGAAATCCAAAGGCAAACTCCAACACTAAAACATATCACAGTGAGAAGAGGAGGTCAATATTTCTTGAAGGACTTTATTGTTCTTGCTTTTTGTTTCTGTGATTTATCCTTTTGGACAGTTTTACTGGAGGTTTTGTCTGTTTAGTTGCAAGCGTTGGTCTTGTTTTGCCCACAAAATACCTAGTCAATCCGCGTTAAAGTGTATCCTGTGAAGCGCTTTGAGACGTTTCGACAAGGTGCTATGTCGAACGCAAGTGTTGTTATTAATAACCAGAAACTGTGTGTGATACCCATGCCCTTTATATCTGCTTTCCTGTTGCAGGTCTAATGATTTCTGGCTTTGCTCGCGCTGGTGCCGTGCTCCAGGATAAGAGCTATGTTCAGCGGGCGGAGCGGGCCGCTACCTTCCTGAGGACACACTTGTTCGATTCGTCGAGTAAAAGGCTCCTGCACAGCTGCTACCGCGGAGACGAGAGGATGGTGGAGCAGATGTGAGTCCCTCCACAGTCCCTCCGCCTCCCTCCCTTCCTCCCTCCCCTCCTTCAAGGCCCGACTCAAGACCCTCCCTTTCGACCGCACCCTCCTACCCCCACTCTCACTACCCTCCACCTCTCCTGATCCCAACCCCCAGCTTGGGTCCAAATCCCTGACTGTCCAGCGCCTTGTGACATCCTCCCGGGGACATGCTGTTGTTGCTCATGCTGTCAGCGCAGGTCAATTGACTGAGTACAGCTTTATTATAATAATCTAATCCTAATCCTTGCACTTGATACAGCGCCTTATCACATCTTCGAGATGTCGCAAAGCGCTTCACAGAATATACCCTAAAAGTGTAGTGACTGTACATTTTGTGGGTGAAACGTGGCAGCCAATTGCGCACAGCAGCGTCCCACAAACAGTCGTGGACTGAGTGACCAATTTATTTTATTTATGGCTGCGTTCGAGTGAAAATGCTCATAAAATTGTTTGAGTCGTTAACCTGATCGACTCGGTCAATCACTGACACACGGTGTGTTTTGCTGCAATGAGCAGACATCTCCACTGAGCTTTGTTGGACTGTACAGCATGGCCCCGCATTCTGTAGCCAGTAACTCCTGGTGAGCCGATGCAGAACTATAGCCCATTTAGCTGATCTATCTGTTGAGGGACCTGCATTGATCCCAGGCTGAACCAGTGCCTTGATTGAGGAGGAGAGAAAGTTGGAGAGGGATTGGGAACTGTTTTTAAGTTACAGAAGAGCTTAGATTTTTTGATGAATTGATCTTTTACTGGTATCTAGGGCTTATTTCCATTTTCTTGTGAAGTGTGCATATTCCTCTAATTATAATATAATAATAGTAATAAAAGTAATAATCCATCCATTTGATATAGCGCTTTTCATGTCTTCGAGACGTCTCCAAGCGCTTCACAGAATATACTGTAAAATAAATTGACTGTATATTTGTGGACGAAATGATAATTACCTAATTATCCTGGAATTAAATAGTATCAGCACTGTGAGAAAGTCGAGAGAACAGTCCTTTCCTGTGTTCGTTTGGTTTAATCTTTATTAAAACTACCAAACACAGGATACTAATATTTTATTCTATAATAATAATCCTTGCATTTGATACAGCGCCTTATCACATCTTTGAGATGTCTCGAAGGGCTTCACAAAATATACTGTAAAGTGAATTAACTGTATATTTTGTGGACGGAACATGACATATTAATGTTCCTATTGCTTATTAAGACGAGGGGAAGTTTTTATTATCTGCATTACGCACGATCCAAAATCCACTTGACGAGAGATTCTATTCCATCATCTCCTGCAATTTACAGCTCAGAAGGAGCGCATTCCGCTAATTGAGCCGAAACGCATCTGTTATACAATTTACATTTATATTAGCATCTCACGTGTCCGGAGGACGTCTCAAGACGCTTTACACAACTGGTTGGGTACCTGAGACTGAGTGGGGGGATGTGGGGTGAGAGCTGAAGAGCGGTGGGGAAGAGGACTGATAATGGTGAGAGTCTTTGAAAGTGGGGACGGAAGGAGTGAGTCAGAGAGATGGAGTTCTTCAGATGTTTATCCCATTTTAACACAGAAATGTTTCCAGATCACAGAAATCATCATAACTCAATAATAATAATAATGATTGCATTTGATTTCGCACCGTTCGGGTGAGGAGGACGTCTCAAAGAGCTTCACAGGATTTACTGTAAAGTATAGTAACTGTTTTCGCAAAAGCAGCAGCCAATTTGCGCACAGCGAGGTCCCGCAAGCAGCCATGAAGTGAATGGCTGATTTTATCTCGGGGATTGTTGGCCAGGACACCCAGAGAAACTCTTGTCTCTTGTCCTTGTCAGACTCCGCCACTCTGGGACGCTACTCCATGTGAAGGGCGCCGTACAAATACAAGTTGTTGTCCTCAGTTTCTACCTACGACCAAAGCTAACCATGAAACACAGCAAGCAGTTAATTAGTTGCGGACACTGTGAACGGTGTCATTACACAGCTTTTTTTCTCTGGACATTACTGTGTGTCCCTCTGAGTTCCTCGGCTGCCTATCTTGTCAATCATCTTGATTGAACTTATCTGGACACGCAGAGAGGTTTGCCAGGCCGTTCAGCAAGTCTCTTAATCCCTTCATCCCATGATGTTTCCCCTTCCTGACACTTCCTCGCCTGCATTGTTTCTTTAAGGAACCCTCTGTCCCAGAAGGCACGTCAGCTCAGATAGTTTTAAAGACGGACAAATAATGCCAGGCTTGGCACATATCCTGGGGTTTAGGGAGGATTTGAAGGGTGATTTGGATGTAATTATCTTTTCATTTTGAGAACACAACTTTGTTCTTTCTGCTAATTGTTATTTCCAAGCCTGAATTCTCAGATCAGGGCGGAAACCTCGGCCAGACTTCATTTGCAGCCCTTAAAGCGCTTCACAGATTATCCTGCAAAGTGAATTGACTGTGTGTTTTGTGGGCGAAACACGGCAGCCAATTGCGCACAGCAGCGTCCCGCAAACCGGTGTATAATAATAATAATAATAATAATAATAATCCTTGCATTTGATATAGCGCTTTTCACGTCAGGAGGACGTCCCAAAGCGCTTCACAGAACACACTGTAAAGTGAATTGACTGTATATTTGTGGGCGAACGCGGCAGCCAATTGCGCACAGCAATGTCCCACAAACAGTCGTGGGTTGAAAATGACCAATTTATTATTGTTTTTGGTTTTGGAGGGATTATTATTAGGCTCTGTGTGGAGTAAGGAAACTTGCCCAAGGTTTCGCCCTCTGCCTGGAATTGAACTCAGGTCTCTCGCATGCAAAGCGAGTGCTCAACCACTGAGCTACAGGACTCCATAGTGTATAGTGTTTCACCCACAAATGTACAGTCACTCCACTTTACAGTCTGTACTGTGAAGCCCTTTGAGACGTCTCAGCAATGTGATAAGGCGCTATATCAAATGCAGGGATTATTAAGGATTTTTATTAAATACTCAGCCCGATGAGTTGAACCAACCCGCAACATTCTCATTGTAAAGGTAACGCAGTAGATTTGCTACGGGAGCAGACGGCTCCAGCAGGCAGCTAGCCAACAAGCATTCAGAAACGTTGGCGCCAAGTTCATTCCAGTCATGTGCTTTATCAGAGATCACCTGGGTGAAGATTCCCGGGGAAATAACCGGTGACTCAATTGAACCCAATAAATAAAACCAATGACTTGACAGCAGGGATTTCTGAGATTTACTTGACGTGAAAATATCGGTCGGGATTTCAAATTATGAAGCACGAAACCTGCTGAATTCCAACGCTGAAACTTCCTTTCATGTAGGTTTTAGTCAGCAACCCTTCAATGAACCTGGAGATGAAATCCAGGGCGAGTTAATTTGTACTTGTCGGGGGGCATTCTCCCAAGTGTTCGCCAGTGGAAATGAGGTGAAACCAATTGTTTCCGATTCAAGGTTATTGCTATCACACAGCTCGTCAAAGATGCTGTTTATGTTGAACATTACCTGGCTTCGGTTTAGTACACGTTTCGCCCACAAAATACACAGTCAATTCAGTTCTACAGTACATCCTGTGAAGCGCTTTGAGACGTCTCGAAGACATGTTAAGGCGCTATAATCAATTGCAAGGATTATTATTATAACCTAACGCAGAAGTGAGCGTGCTGGCGACTGGGTCGGGCTGGCTGGTGCAGGCTGCTTCTGATGGGTCTGGACTGCTGTCTGTCCTGGAAAGAATCGACTTGACGATGTAAATCCAATTTCTGTGTATGGGATAAGAATAGCTGTTGATACACTAAATAGCCGAACGGCATGAATACACAAAGACTTACTTTAGGCGTGACAGAAATGTAGAAAAGGTCCACGTGCTTTATTGTACTCAACTCTGGCTCCCTAATAATAGGATTCATTAGTGTTTTGATCTTTGTGGTTAATTTTTCACACTGGGTTTAATTCAGTCAGGAAATTGCAGCCTGGCATTAAAGTAGTGTGATAGCCAGAGGAGATGTGCTGCTACACACTGTAACTTAGAACATTTCCGACACTGGACAATTAATTGCACATGTTATTTTTCAGAGAGATAGATGGATTGCATTTATACAACAACAACTTATATATATATATATATATATAACGTCACATGTAAAAAATTCAATATTGCAAGGTTTAATTAATCAGAAATGAACTTGATGATCTTCAGCGACGTCTGTAGAAGACAACAGAGATAAGCGGATAATTCATCTGAATTTGGGTTAATGGTTGGATATTTGTTATTGAGTTTGTATTTCACTGGTCCCGACAGAATGCTGCGTTCTGCTGTACGTTTGCTGCTGAGTCAGTGCAAAGTGAGTTCCTGATTTCATCCAATGGGTAAGATGGGGTGGAATGGAGGACTTGTCTGTAGGGAAGGGAATCTTGGGCTGTACCTGATCTGTTTAAAGCAACAGCGTGGGGAGGAAGATACAAGGGTATCCCTCTAAACACACCAGTCGTCAAGACCAGTAACATGGAACAGCCAGTAACATGTGTTTATTGTGTGTGTGTTTTACAGAAGTTCGCCCATCCCTGGCTTCCTGGATGACTACGCCTTTGTTATTCGGAGTCTGATTGACCTGTACGAGGCCTCCTTCGACCAGCAGTGGCTGGAGTGGGCCGTGCAGTTACAGGAGGCACAGGACCATTTGTTCTGGGATTGCGAGGGCTTTGCCTACTTTACCAACGACACCAGTGATCCCTCGGTGCTGATTCGCCTCAAAGAAGGTGGGTATTAAGAAATTCACATTAAATTAAGCCATCGATATTCCTTGAACACTTTAGTACTTTCTCAGGCTGTGCTGGGCACCTCTCGAGTCCCATTAATCCTCTGTTACAGTATCCATCCTGCTGGGCTACAGGTGGTGAGGTGGCTGGGGATGAATTTAAAGATGAAAAAGCCACAAGCTGTTTGTGCTTTCACAAGATGCGCTGTGAATTTCTAAAGCTGCAGTTTGTGCCGTGAGCTAATCCCCACCAGGACCTGGACTGCCACTGCCACACTCTCAGCTTTCTATAGGAATCTACAGAGACTGGGTTTTCTCCGACAAACTTCGGGATTAATTGGCATTGACAGCCATTAGCATTTCCCCTGCCTGTCCTCAGTGCTGGGTGATCACTGAATGGAGGAACATGGAACAGAGTAGATAAAATATTCACAACTAGTTTGAAAAGAACCTTGTCATTTAGCCTGAGCTGGTTGCATGAGCCAGAATGAATAATAATGTAATAATCCTTGCATTTGATACACCGTCTTATAACGTCTTCGAGACGTCTCGAAGCGCTTCACAGGATACACTGTAAAGTAAATTTGTTGACTGTGGGTTAGGTTTATGCTGCTGAAAACGTGAAAACCTGAAAAAAGTTTGTCCTGAAAGACTTAATAATTATTCCAGGCAACTGGAGCCTTCTGTTAGAGCAGGTTGAAGCCCAGAAGAAATTGAGTTTGGAAGCAAGGTGAAATATTGATTGCAAAGTGCACTCATTGATTCCTGCAGTTTGTGCTATTTATCCTAGAAGATGCCTGGGCGGTTTGCAAGCAGTTCTTTATAACATTGTGAAACACGGAGGCTTTCTCTTGGTTTATATTCCCCTCCACATCCACATTCTCCCCTAAATTCAAATCAATCGGCCATTCATCTCACTGCTGTTTATGGGATGTTGCTGTTGAACATTATCTGCTGTGTCTGTCTGTAAAACAGCTTTTACGTCCATTTCTGAGCTTGTAAAGTGCTTTGAGACGTTTATTTTCACGTAAAAAAAAAAGCTCTGTATGCATTGTTGCTGTGTATTTTGTGCACTGAACCCTACGCCGAGGTTCACATTTTTTGCTGGCTGTTATTTCCCATTCAGGTTACGATTACATCGGGGGTAATAATTCCCTCACTCAACAGCTGTTTGTGGGACGCTGCTGTGCGAAATTGGCTGCCGCCAACCCACTTTACAGCATACTCTGTGAAGCGCTTTGAGACTTCTCAACAACACGATAAGGCGTCACATCAAATGCAAGAATTATTGTTATAAGACAGTATATTTAATGCGCTTATGTTTCCATCATTTTATTTTTCATCCAACCTTGTTTGCCTTGTCATTGAGGTAAACCTTAAGGAATTCCCTGCTGTTACTTCATAGAAAAACGGGGAGTTTCTCTGAATTATCCCGCCTTGTAAAGCGCTCGAAGACGCTAACCTGTGTGTAGGGCACCGTATAAATGCAAGTTGTTGTTGTCGAATTATCCCACTTGTATCTCTTCCTCGTCCAAATTCACCCTTAAAAATCAAATTCATTGGCTGTTCACCTCCAGCTCTTTGAGATGTTACTGGTACAAATTACCTGCCAGCCTAACATCTCACTTCTTTTCTAATGATTCTCATTTTGCGAAGTGCTTTGAGACATTCATCCTCCGTGAAAGGCGCTTTATATGAAGTGTAGGCGGTTATTCATGTGCCAGGAAGCCTGCAGTGTCTGGCTCACATTACCAGCCTTTATACAGGATTCTGGAGAGGAAACAATTGCTTGGGTTTGGAAGTTGAGGAAACTATTAGCACAAAACATTCACAAAACACACTTTACACTGTATCTTCGCAGCCCACTTTACAGCGTATCTTGTGGAGCGCGTGGTGATGTCCTTCTGACATGAAAGGCACTCTTATCAAATGTAAGGATTATTATTACAACAGAGGGCAATTCTGGTCTGTAGAAATTACCTTCTGATCAACACCAGCCAGCAACAGAAATATAAAGCATTAATCTACAGTGCTGGTCAAGTACATTCATTCTGAGGCTCATTACCTACTTGCCCTGAGACATCGCCACTAGATAAGATTAATAACAACCGGTTTTTGTTCCTTGTTGCCCGTGACATTAAAGAGAAATCAGTCAATTGCACGAGAGAATTGCTCCTCACATCCGTCATGGCCTGCATTGGTGACACAGTTCCTTTTGACTCTGCTGTTTGTCATTCTCCAGCCCCTGAATTACATGCATTGTGAGCGCACACAAGAGCAATCCATTCTCCCTTTTGGCTGTCAAAGAGGCAGCAAAAAGGATGCCAGGCTTCAGGAGAATGTACTGTGTTTGAACTTCTCTCTCATTCAGCTGTTCTTCGCAGCTCATCAAACATTCCTGATGGAATTTTGACGGAACAATTAAAGACTCGCAGGAAATGGGGCTTTCCTGCTTCAATAATAACAAGAATCCTTGCGTTTTTTTGATACAGCGCCTCATCGCGTCTTCGAGACGTCTCAAAGCGCTTCACAGGATATACCGTAAAGTGGAGTGACTGTGTATTTTGTGGGCGAAACACGGCAGCCAATTGCGCACAGCAGTGTCCCCACAAACAGTCGTGGATACAATGAATACACAATGAATGCTGACGAGGGGCGAGTTGCCGGAGTTTCCTTGTCCACTTCCCCCCTCCCTAACCCTGGCAAGGCCAGGGACAATTTAGTGTCTCCCCGCAGCTCCCCTGAGATCAGCAAACAACACAGGTCGGGATTCGCACCCACGCGTTCCTGGTCAGTAAAGCTGCGGCTCTCTCGCCTACACCGTAGACGCTGCCCCCACCACCCTGTGTCATCTGTTTTCATGGCTGCTTTGTTGCCCTCTCGGCTTTGTCCCTCTTTCATGGATATCTCCTTTGACTGTCGCTGTGAGAGCCTCTGACCTGTGGGCTGTGATATTGAAGTTCAGCCTCGTAGCTTTCACGTTGTTCAATTGTTCTGTTTGCCAGGACTTCACAAATGTTTTGACTGAAAGGAGTTTTGCTCAGACACCACACGTGGCTGCATCAGAAGCCGCTCTGGCCTCTGCACCATTCACACTCGGAGGCCCGGTGTGAAGACTGAAGACTTGCAGCGCCATCGCTTCTGGCTCAGTGTGAAGAACCCACAGCTGGACTCCCATTTCATTGAATACTCATAAATATGTCAGGCCCACCTCCCGCATTTTTGAGAAATCTCTGCAATCGACTAACGAGTGGGTTCCTGCTGACTGCTCGGTGAACAGAGGCGTGTGGAGTAAGGGAACTTCCTTGATGTTTTGTCCAGCCCGGGAATCGAACCCAGGTCCTCCGGCTTTGTGAGGGAGTGCTCTGACCACTGAGCTACAGGACTCCATATGGATTTAAATATGGACAGCTCAGTGATGGCGGGAGAATGACAGAATGACACGTTCTGATTCCCTCTTATGTTTTTACGACAGATCAGGACGGCTCTGAGCCCAGCGCCAACTCGGTGTCTGCCTCCAACCTGCTGCGGCTCTCGACCATCGCCGGCCGGCCTGAGTGGGCAGATAAATCCAGGCAACTGCTGGCCGCCTTCGCCAAACGCCTCAAGACCATTCCCATTGCCCTGCCCGAAATGGTAACCGCACTGATGGCCCAACATCACACGCTCAAAGAGGTAGGTACCGAGAGCACGGCCTAACACTGCACGTACAACTGTATCCACAGTCCCTTCGCCTCGCTCCTTTGCTCGCCTCCTCCCAGGCACATCTCAAGACCCTCCTCTTCGACCGCGCCTTTGGCCACCCTCCTACCCTCCTTGCCCCCCTGGGTCTAGATCCTCTCTGTAATCGTGGCATTTCCCAGTGTCCAGAAACCAGCAAATCCTCACATAGCCTTTCATTTTGAATCTGTTTTTCTCCAAAGTTTCTCTGAAGAAACTGACATCGAACTTAACACTGAAATTTCATCACTACGCCCTGACATTGCTGTGTTAGGAATGGAGGGAGTCAGTTGAGGGCTTCTGCCAGCGTTCAGAACCCTCCTGATTGCTACCCAGTGACTCCTGTAGGGCAGTGTTTGCGTCCGGGGCATTGGGAGCAAACAGAATCAAGCTGTGCTGTGCTTTGTATCCCAACTGGTTGAATAACCTGACCGCGTAGAACACACCTAACGTGTGAAGGATGAGCATTTGGGTGAAGAGCAGATCAGTCAGCGTCTTATCAAATAGCCCCCCCAACACGAGGGGGAGAGGGAGAGAGAAACCTGGAAAAGGGAAAGACTTCTTTTAAGAAACTGCGGTTTTAACCGTCAGAAGTCACATTCTAAAATGTTGTTGTGGTCGAGCTTATTCCAGGTGGATGAGGTAACAGAATCCCAGGGACATTGACGATTAATACTGTAGAGATTTCAGTTCCGCGAGCTTCTCTACACAGATCATTTTAAGCTGTGCTGAGGCCACTTGGGCTTGAGGCTGTGCCAATTAAATTCCAAACAGTCATCAACGAGAAATGCCAGGGGTTGTTAATTGATGCCACTCAGCCTGGGCGTGGGCTTATACGATACATACTCCACTTTGCTCTCGGCTTTTGCGGTTCAGAAATCTCGTGCTGGTGTCGGAACGATCCGTGAACTGCGCATTTCGTAGCCGTGTGTAAGGGTTGAAAAGTGCATTTTTTTTTTGCTGGAGACTCTTCACTTTCCCTGTCGTTTTCTGAGACATTAAAACAGCCTGTTCAGGTGTCAGACTGAACAGCGTTCCAGGAAGGTTAGTGGTATAATGCGAGCAAACCTGTTTAGGTATTTTGTGTGTAGGTGTCTCTCTGCCACCCTTACAGAATGACGTCTCCATTGTCTGAATAGCTGGCTCTGCCTCTGGCACGCAGCCTGGCCCTCTCCGCACCGCCTCCCACAGGACGCGTCTCCTTTGTTAAGTCTGTCATCTCGTGATTCAGAGATAAGCAAATAATACTAATAATAATCCTTACATTTGATGCAGCACTTTATCACCTCTGCGAGACGCCTCAAAGCGCTTCGCAGGACACACTGTAATGTGTAGTGACTGTATATTTTGTGGGTGAAATGCGGCAGTCAGTTGCGCACAGCGCTGTCCCACAAACAGTGGTGGACTGAGTGACCAAATTATCATTTTTTTGAAGGGATCATTGCCCCCAGAAAAGCGATCCACCAATCGACTGGTAAACCGAGGAATAAGGAAACTTGCCTAAGGTTTTAGGCAAAAGGATGGTTGTGATCTGGCACTGAGTCAGTCAGAAGCCCCTGATATATTGGAGGCAATAAAGCGACGAGGGATATACTGAGAGGAGGAGGAGGAGGATGTGTGCTTGGCATTATGCAGTACAACAAAAGGAAAGTGTCTGAGAAGCAGTAGCTAGCTGGAGGATTATATGGAGCAGCCTGACATTTCCTGATAAGAGCAGCGTGCTGAAAATCCACTCTCCCAATAATGTCATTCTCCTTTTCGTCGCTTTATTTTCGCGAGGAGCTGACGATGAATCCCCTTCAAGGAACGGGAATCCTCGATAAGTAATCCCTCGTATCGATGTGAAATCATTATTTTATAAATTGCAACGGGGTCTCCACAACTCCAGAACTTCCCCGATTTAGTGAATGTATCCAAATCCCTCCTCCTCAGGAGCAGAGGTAATAATAATAATATTAATATTAATCCTTGAATTTGATACAGCGCCTCACCGCGTCGTTGACACGTCTCAAAGCGCTTCACAGAATATACTGTAAAGTGAATAGCTGGGGCAGAAAATTACTGGGGAAGATCTGGATACAACCCCTCGTATCCAGCGTTGTTCTCTTTGTCGTTTTGCATTGTTGGAGGTGCCGATCTTCAGATGACAAGTTAAGTTGTTAAGGGTCCCGTCTGCCTGTTCACATGGCCAACAGTCCCCCAGATAAAACTGGTCATTCACTTCATGGCCGTTTGTGGGTTATTGCTGTTGTATTCGCTTACAAAGTACCCGGTCACTACTTTCCTGTGAATCTTGCGAAGCACTTGGAGACCTCCAGCTCAATATGAATGAGCCATAAGCTTCCCATTCGGTACAAGATTCACTGCAAAGTAATCATGACTATAATATCATTATCCGAATGATGACTCGAAGCAGAAAATGAGAAGCTTGGGCACAAGCCTCCACGAGGGTTAGGTTTGCCTTTTGCCATCACCTCAGTGGAGTCCTGTAGCTCAGGGGTTAGAGCACTCGCCTCGCAAGCGAGAGATCGGAGTTTGATTCCCGGCAGGGCGAAACCTTAGGCAAGTTTCCTTATTCCACCCGCCTGATAATGGTCCCTCAAGAAAAAAATATAATAGTTTGGTCACTTAATCCACGGCTGTTTGTGGGACACTGCTGTGCGCAATTGCCTGCCGTGTTTCGCCCACAAATATACAGTCAGTTCACTTTACAGGCTATTCTGTGAAGCGCTTTGAGACGTCTCGGAGATGTGATAAGACGCTGTATCAAATGCAAGGATTATTATATATATATTTCCATTATTACCTCTTTATGCGCGATTCCTTTCCAGGTCACAGTGCAGGAAGGACATCTTCAAAGAGATTCATCCTTCATTGCATTTCATGTATCATTTGATGCTCTGTCCAGGGTCCTCTCTCTGTCCCAGTGTACAGGCCCATAAGGGAAAAGGCTGACCGGCCATAATCGTGATATACTGAGCCAATTTTCCACATAGTGACACAAGGACATACTCACTTGGAGCTAATGGATTCCATCTGATATGAGTGAATACTTTTATTGATTTCTTCAGTGGGGTATGTCGTACAGCTGTTGTACATTTCCGCACTGCTTTATAGCTCGGCTCGTAAACCTCAGGAATAAGCAGATGAGTTAGCAAATTGGTCTGAAAACTACAGGAGCTGACTGATTTCACAGAACAATTTGAATTTGTTTTCATTGAGGTTGAGCTGTATTTTATGAAGGTTTTATAGGATCGGACATGAAGCTTTCATAAATGGATGAATGAATCATAACCCTCTTTCTTGCATATTGAATTTGCATTACACTTTAAACCCTGGATGTACTGCTGTGTTATGCAGAGGTTTGGGTTGAGTGCAGAAGTGAATTGTCTCTCATTTGTGAAATGTTATTCAATTTTAAGTAATTATTGACAACAATAACATCGCAGTTAAATCGGAGTGAAATGAAAACCCATTTAATCTAGTCAGGAGAAGCATAAAATGTTTTCTCATTATTATATATTAAATGTAATAATGTGAAGGTGATTGTGGAACTCATTAATGCGTTGGTTCATTTAACATGTGGGTGAAAAGCATTTTTCCAGGGCATTACTCAAAAAGAGAAAATGAGCAGGGAGCTTCTCTCCTGGTGCCCTGGCCAACAATCCCTGAGATAAAATAGGTCATTCACTTCATTACTGTTTGTGGGACGTTGTTGTGTACAAATTGGTTGACGTGTTTGCCTACAAAATACACAGTGACGAAACATTAAATCCTGTGAAGAGCTTTGAGGAGTTTTGACGAGTTGCTTTATCAAATTCAAGGATTATTATTGTTAATAAGGGACAAGTTATATCAAAGGGTCCACAGTAATTCCGTAGCTCGGTGGTTAGCGAGCTCGCCTCGCAAGCGAGAGGACCTGGGTTCGATTCCCGGGCGAGGCGAAACCTTAGGCAAGTTTCCTTATTCCACATGCTTCTGTTTATGTAGCAGGAATTAGGGACTCGGTTGTTAGTCGATTGATGGATCGCTTTCCGGAGGTAATAATCCCTCCATAAAAAGAGAGAGAAAAAGATGCGGTCACTCAATCCGTGACTGTTTGTGGGACGCTGCCGTGCGCAATTGGCTGCCGCGTTTTGCCCACAAAATACACAGTCAATCTACCTTGCAATGTATTCTGTGAAGCGCTGTGAGACGCCTCAACGATGTGATAAGGCGCTGTATCAAATACAAAGATGATTATTAATTCACATTCAGGCTAATGTGAATCCTGAATTACGAAAACAACTGAACAGAAATATTCATACGTTACATATTCCCCTCTAAGCAGCTCCAGTGAAAATAGAAGATTGGAAATAATTGATGCGATATTTCTTCTGTAGACAGCATATGTTGATGTTTTCTCACACACACTGCATTATTTTTCTGGCATCTCTCAGTTGCAGTGTATTCACTCGCTCACTAACCCGACTTTATTGCTTAGTACAAGCCAGGGTTTTATAACTTACATCAAAATGGGGAAAAGAAAGGCTGAATATTTGAGAAAACAGACTACACACATTTGGAATAATTTGCTGTTTCAGCTAGAAACTTTGCAATGATGCATTATGCATGTGGTTGAGAAGGGGAGAGAATTACTCAATTACAAAATATACAGGTGTAACTCAATACAATTTAACTTATGTAATAAATAAATATTCCTTGCATTTAATCTAGTGCCTTATCGCATCGTTGAGACGTCTCAAAGCGCTTCACAGAATATACTGTAAAGTAAATTGACTGTATATTTTGAGGGTGAAATGCAGCAGCCAATCCCGCACAGCAACGTCCCACAAAACAGTCATGGACCAAATTTTTTTTCCCAGTCAAAGCACTCGAAAGCTATAAGTGAAAGGCCTAGAATAGAAACTATTTAAACTGGAGGTTCCTAGCTAGCCTGTATGGTGTAGAGGGTG